CACAGTACATAAATATACATAATATATGCATCTGTGGAAAAATAAGTGCCCGTCAGATTTTATTGTGAGATCAAAACATCTACAGCCTTGGCCAAAAGTATTAGGCACCCTAAACCCACTAATTACTGAATTTTTTGTTTTAACAAGTGAAGTAATGAAGTTTTATTAGTAAAACAGTGAAAATGCCTTGAATTAGTGATAATAACATTAATATTTAGTAGGTCCACCTTTCGATTTAATAACGGCAGCAATTCGCTTAGGCTTGCTGCGTACAAGCTTTGCACATTCGTCCGCACTTATAGCGTACCACTCGTTAATTAAGACATTCTTTAAGGCGGTTTTTGATGTTACACTGTGTGCCTTAATCTTGCGTTTTAAAATAGCCCACATAGCACTCAATGGGATTAAGATCTGGAGACTGTTCAGGCATCATAGTCGGCGATATGTGACAAGGAGCACTGTCTTGCTGTATTGAACCCCGTCTAAATTAGTATCCATGCTTAACAGTGGGTACCACGCAATCTAGGTGATATTCTTCCCCAACCAGTCGCCTAACGAACGTTACACCAAGTGTTCCAAATATCTGAAAAAAGAAAACATAATGTTTTCATAAGGTTTTTATTATGTCTTCAAAATTGCTCTAGTGCAAGAAGCTATAGCCAAGCTAAGCCGGAGCGTCTGCAAAGTTATATGAGCCTTGGTCTCGACGTTCCATCGGTAAACCCATATTTCGTTACCGCTTATAATACAGAGTTTTCCAATCAAAGGTCTTTTTGAAAGTAAACGTTATCTAGATCAATACCATCTCTCGATAGCGCATCTGCTCACCGTAACTTTTGCTTCAACTTCATTTTCGAAAAAGTAAGGTCCAATGACCTCGTCCGACCATAAACCGCACCAAACAGTTACACCTTGAGAATGGAAAAGCTTTTCAACGACCAATCTTGTGTTTTCCAAACCCCAGATGCGTAAATTTTAAGTAAATGACGATTAAATTTCGGATCATTTTCATGCTTTTCAAGAACCCAATCCGCAAAGACACGACGTTGTTGATGATCGGCCGGCTTGGGTGCTTTTGTTAAATGGACTTTTTATAAGTCTTAAGACTCTCTATACAAACCGCTTGGAATGAGACTAATGGAATGCCCAATTCCAAAGAGGAATGAACAAACCTTGATTTTGTTCAACACTATGAGCTACAGTTTTGTTGAGTAACGTGCACGTGTTTCATTCCTCAAATCACTAACTTGCACCTACAGTTCCATTTTTTCCCTCCACTTTCTGTGTTGTTGTTGTTGTTGTTGTTGTTGTTGTTGTTGTTGTAACGGTTAGCTAACCCCGCCTAGGCACAGGTTTGATCAGTCTAAGTCGCCGAGGTCATCTAATGGTAGGTCCAGGAAACGAGCTGTTTCGACGGGGTTGGACCAGAGGGAGAGGGGGGTATGATGAGTTGATTTGAGAGGGCATTTGAAAAGGTGGTTAGTGTCGTGCGGAAACTCTCCACATGCAGGGCATGTGTTGGGTATGCTAGGACACGAACCGTCTATGCCAGATTTTCTCCATTTTCATAGTAAACTTTAATAATTTCAGTGTGTTGTTGACGCGTGTATCGTTCCATTTTTATTACTGGCTTAGTTTTTACTTGTCAAAAAATGCCATCTTCAAAAGTCTACCTATTCTACCGGAATAGCAGGCTATTCAAAATAGCACCTCTTATTGGAAATCGCTTTATATCGACTGTCAGGATGGCCGAGTGGTTGGCAATGCATCACACTTACCACGAATTGGAGAAGGAAAAGCGCTTTAGCTTGTGTATAATACCGAATCTCCTACTCGTAGATGCTTTTTTGACGGATTTGTGACCCAAAATCTGAAATCTTATTCAACAATGCAACTGTGTACCAAGTTGGGTTGAAATATACAAAAACTGGAAGACTACCTTGCTTACAAATAAATGGACAGACGGAAATGGCTGTTTCAACGAAACACACAGCAAGAGATAACGATTCTAGATGAAGAAAATTTAGTTAATTTGTTGTCGCGTTCAATTCCCAAATCTTAATCTCCCTTAGGACTAGTAGGAGATAGTTAAGAAAAAATTTACTCGTTTCATGAAGTATTCATAAGCTTTTACTCGCTTTTTTCTGGAATAAAATAAACGTTTCTATTTCACAACTTTATTTTCAACTTAATAATTTATCTGCAAATAAATTTTATTAAAAAAAAAAAATATGGCCCGACACAATTTTGACATTTTAATTTCGTTTTCGTGCCACACGAAATGTAATCATTCAATTACTGACATGAAAAAAAATATTTTTTCAGAGGTCAAAAACTGTCTTCAAAATTTCTGAATTTTTGGTTAATTCACGAAAGCAATTTACTCATAAAATATAATATTATATAATACATATGTATGTATGTATGTAATGCAAGAAAAAAATTCCCAATTGCCAATAGTTGTATGTACATAACCTCAATAGTCGTTAGTGTTGCTAAAAGCCAGGCGGTGCGTGTATAAAATGGCATGGCAAATGGCACGTGGCACATTATTCGCTTATCCTCCTAGATACATCTGCTGGGCATTCAATTTAAAACCAGAAAAAAAAACACAATAATATTACAGTTAGCAATCCATCATGATATTTTCAGCGTGTTCCATAGGAGCATTGATAATGGTATAAAAATATGAAAATAAAAATGAAAATGAAAATGAAAATGACACAACGCACGGTCCGTAATGTCAGTGAATATTTCTGAGAAACATTTGTCTTTGAGTTCTATGGAACAACTCAACTCGTTAATAACGGTAATCCTTTAGCGTCGGTTTGCAAACAAAGCGTTTCAAATTTAAATGTTTTGCTTATGACATTTTCTGTATGTAGAAAAAAGTGCCTTACTCTAATACATATTTATAAAAAATAAAAAAAAAAGTGTTAAAAGACACATCTTAAAACGTCGTCGAGTATGTCTTTCGCCTGTGATACTTACAAATTTCAAACATTGGAGATATTATATAGGTAAGAAAATTTCTTAGATTTATACTCGTTGTGCATATAAAGGGTTTTCTTTTTAGACATGTGTTTTTCAAGTAGAAATTAAATGCATATAATTCAATATTATGGCCAAGAATTTAGAGCCGTCGCTGCTGTCTCGTGTCAAGGCTTCGACCACTTTTTGCTGCAAAACTTAATTTAAATAAAAATTAAGTTAAATTTAAGTTAACAAAGAATGCCAACCCCTCCGAGTGTACTTCTGATATGTTATAATATAAAGCTCTTCATAAGAAACCATAAGGCGGCTTAATATAAACTGTCAATCGTTTCGAAGTTATCTAAGTAGGTAAGCGACCTTAAATAATCTCACCGGAAATAGTCCAGAGGTGTTAAATTGGACGATCTTTTAGAGGCCACGGCACAGATCCAATGCGCTCACCAAAACAAAAAAAGTTTCCTTCAATAAATTCAGGGTTTCGTTGGTTGTATGGATATAGCGCTAACCGGCTAGAACCAAAAGTGGTCCACAAAAAACATCATCCAATTATTCAAGCACGAAAAATTAATTAATCTTGGCTTTATAGCGTTCGACCTCTGCCCATAGACTACACCGAACAGTGACTGTTTGAGGATGTAATCGCGTCTCACCAATTGCTTGGGGATTATCATCACTCCAAATGCGATAATTTTTAGTTGGAATTGAGTTTCATCGCTGAACAAATTTTTCTTGTCGAAATCAGGCTGGGTGGCCATATTGTTTTGGGCCCGCTCTTGTACGAGTTGTATTTTGTAAGCCCGCAAACCAAGAATCTTCTGCAAAATCTTCCATAAAGTGGTTGAGCACAGCTCCAATTGTTGTGTGCGAGAGCGGATGAACTCATTCGGTCTTTTTCGATACTCTGCTCCACAGCAGTAATAGCGTTGCATTCGAATTGTTATGAAATTTCGCTTCGTCCAATGGCCTAACGATTGCTGACAGAAGATGAGCATTTTTTTCTTTTTTAAACAATAATCCGTTCCAATGAAGGTCTCGTTCACCTCAACACTTATGTTAAGCGGAAGATATCGCTCTTGGGGAACAGAAAACCCACCCATGTAACCGAAGAAAAGCCAATGCATCCTTAGTAGCGGCATATGAGCTGGCGGTACCATGGGTTTAATGGTTCGGAAACCAAAGAAGAGCTGCCGTTACCCTCAATGCTGATCTTTAACGTGCCATGCTGAGATTACATGAAGATATCAGTCAACGTGTCTAACGTTCCTTTGTACTCTATATTTAAAAATCGTATAATTTGTTGCAGATAATTGAAGTCGCCATTGCAGCCAGAGGTGACGATACAATCGAAAATCGTGATAATATGGGCATAGATATAAGTAACGCTCTGCGGCGCAACCGTTGAAGGGATTTTCGGTCGAGCTCCTCTAGATGTTTTTCCAACAAATGGAAAGACTTACAGTTTATTTTCAGCCGCCTCCGAAAGGCCGATATATTCCTGTCCGAAATACACTCAGAAGACTAGACATTCCCTGCTGAGGGGCGACCGCAATTGAAAAATTAATTTTCTATAATTTTAACTGTTGGCCGAATCATTTTTCTCCCGTTTTTCTTGCAAAGTTTTTTAGTGCCTACATAATAAAAATGCTTAATCATCCGAAGCCCTTGGCTAACACTTTGGCCTAGACAACATGTCTAAATCGTGTGTTCTAATTAAGTTTTAAGATTTCATAACTTACTGAAAGGCATTCGATGTCGAAGAAGATTCAAAAAAAAAAATTTAAATATACACCAACTTAGGTCTAGAAATAGGCCTACCTGCCATATAACAGACCTACTATTGTTGACCGATCTGTGGTCTCAATATAAATATCATCTGAGTATCTAATCTTCATTTCAGTAGTCTTCCTTTTTACTATTTTCGAAGTTCTAAGAGTTTTTTTTTTCTACTTTTTCCTCGACAAATTATAAAGAACTCATTATTTTTTCACATTTTTTCCCCACAACAGACCCGACAAGCATGCATCCCTACTTACTGAGGAGAGTCTAATGACATTGGATGATCTCGATGCTGAGGATCATGAATTACCCAATTTCCAGCGTGTTTCCATTTCCGGTGAGGATACAAGCGGTGTGCCATTGGAAGATTTAGAGCGTGCTTCTACCTTACTAATACAAGCATTGGAACTACGTGAACGTTATATGTTGCATTCGGGTCAATCATTTCCGACAACAACACGTCGTTTCCTGAAAACCGTACACGAACGCAATCGTTTCGGCACGATTGAGCACGAGAATCGCAAAACCATTGCAGGTAGGTTGTTCAAAATTCAATTTCATGCCATAAAAAAGAGCTTTGTGACGCGTATTAAAAGAGTATACGTGTGCTAAATAAAAAAAAATAAAAAAAAAAAGTTTCATAATTCGTTAAAAGTTTTAGAATTTTTTTTTGAAGTTATTTATTCAAAAGTAGTGTTTTCAATAGAACTTTTTAATATTTTTATTATTACATCATTATGATGAACATTTGTAACTACAACTACACTAAGAAACCCGCTGCGACATTTATTACTGTTAATTTTTTTCTATAATTATTATAAAATTTAATAATTCGTACAATTTTACATAATTATATACCTCTCTACTGTAAATATGTACAAAGCAAAGTAATACACAAGATTTTTGTAACAATCTAAATTTCTGGAAATAACAGTTATATACTATTCGTACTCGTATATGCCGCTATGTCGTGTCGTGTTTCGCCTATCGCACTGCAAACAAACTATTTTCATCCTTCTTTAATTTTCTTTGAAAATAATTTCACCGAATCTGATTTGCTAAGAATGTGAAAATTACAAAAAAAAAAAAAATTTATTCAATTTGAAAAACAAAACCACTTTTAACCACACTCTTTTAATTTCACCTTTATGTTTTTGTTATTTTATTATTTCCGATTTATTTTTCCGTTCTTTTGTACAAAACGTAAATATTTTATTTCCAACATTATTCTTTTATAGCTATAATACGCAAGATCAGCCTCCCCAGTACGCAGACAGGTAATTCGTTCGTTTATGCATTCCAACATTGCAGCGGGCGAATGAATGAGTTGTGTATTACGTTATTTTTATTATATTTTTTTTTTGTACAATTCTTTTTTCTTTGTGAACTGCAAATTTTCGTTTCAATTTCAAAATTTCATTCAACTGTTGTAACATACATGCATACATATATACAATACATATAAACATACTATTTATGTATAAATACACGTACATACATACTTACATATATAAATCATATGGAAGTCGGAATCGTTCGAAGATTATTCATTAATTACTTTTGTTGTAATGTAATTGAACTTGAAATTGATTTTCTCTGCTTTTATCTGAGCTTTGTCTATTTGATTATTGTTGGATAATACAAAACTTTTTGGTTTATTTGTTTATCATTTTTTAATTTTTTATTTTAATTTTTTTTCATTTAAAATTTTTTTTTTTTTGATTTCATTAAATTTTTTTATTTTATTAATTTCATTGTTTTTTTTTTCCTTTACCCACACGTTTTTTTGCATTTTCGTTGTGAATGATCCGTTGAAATTGCACGCAAAGTATTTTTTGCTTATTTACATTATTTTTTTTTTTCAAATTGAGTTTTTTATGTTGAACCATTTCTTTTGCGTATGTTGAGGCAGAATTTACAATATATATATATATGTATTTAAAATACAGGCATATACTTGTATATAAAAAAAGTTGTTGGTTTGCTTTACACACCTAACAGAGCATCAGACTGCATAAATAATTAAATTAAAAAGTAGTTCATCACATTTAGCTCTTCGTTTATTTATATAAGTAAAAATACTTACATTGTTTTGTTGTTTGAATAAAAATGTCAGACTTTGAAGAATTAGAAGTTCTCGACAAATCTCAGATTATAATGAATTAAATAAAATAAATAAGAAGATAAGAATTAAAAAAAATAAAAATTGTAATAAAATAAGTAAAATACACAAACAAAATATTGTAAAATAAAAATATTAAACAAAAAATAAAATAGTATGAAATATAATAAAGCCTAATATAAAGAAAAATATAATAATTAAGACATATTAATAAATTAATGATAATTAAAAAGAACAGCAAGTAAATAAAATAAAATAGAAAGTTAAATAAATTATAATAAAAATTGAAAAATAAATTATAATGAACAAATTATAAAATATAAAATATAATGAATATACAACATTAATACATAATATACAACTTTATAATACAAAAAGCAAAATAAAATTAAAATAAAATAAAATAAAATAAAATAAAATAAAATAAAATAAAATAAAATAAAATAAAATAAAATAAAATAAAATAAAATAAAATGAAATTCCTAAATTTGTTAGAAAATTTGTTGGCCGCAAATCGCAAAATATGTATATATAATGCATAGCTCTCTTAATACCTTTCATGATCATTTCAAATTTATTGCGTTTCCTTTCAAAGTTAAATATGTATTAAATCTCACATGTGTAAAATCGGTTGGGGAGCTAGCTATATAATATCGTTTTCCGAGAATTTCAGTATCAAAAACTATTTGCATGTTTAGAAATGCCAAATTTCACGCTCTGAGATGCTTTTTCGACGAAATTTTGATCCAAAATTTCACATCGGAACCTATCGGTTGTTGATGTCCTGTTGAGTATATCTCTTTACCTTTTGATACATACATTGAATTAGAGTTAATATACTGTTTTATGTTCATGAAAGGTTTAAAAATTAGGTTTCTATAATTTTTGAATGTTGGCCAGAGCAGAACTCGAACCCTCTGCTTCTGAAAACTCGCTTTATTTCGGTTAGCCATTAGAAAAACTTGGCGAAAATCACCACAAAATAAGAAAAATATCTCGAGGGCACGTCTTACAGCTTTTGTTCTCTTTTTGTTGTTCTTAAAAAAGGTGTTTCTTTGTAACGAATTTTATGAGTAGTTCGACTACAGTGAGTCCGATAGTACAAGAACAAACATTTTCAATTTTATCGAAATCAGCGCATATGTAAAACACCTTTTTTTTACAAAAAAACTCAGATGGTTACCTACTAGATTTTTAGTAGAATATAGAAATATACACAGAACAGCTAAAATGACTATCACTTACATGCATGTACCAAATACATATGGACATACACAAGTAAATACAATACTTTTGCACAACGACTGCTAATGATAGACAGTTTACTTTTAGAACAAAAGTAGCAAATGTGAATAAATCTATTCGTATTTATAAATTTAGAATTGACTAAAGAAAATCCCACAAAATGCCGGTAGTTAAGTAGCCTTGAATGTGCTAAGCGCTCAGCCGTGACCTTTGCGAGCGGAAAGCCTGGTGGTCGCTCTGCCAACCCACATTACACACACCGTAGTTGTATTATAGCACTTTTGTTAAGCATTTTGCTGAGCCTCTGCGCACGCTATTCAATGCAATTGCAGGCTTTTTGTTCGACTATTTTTGATTTTTGTGTGTGCTTTTGTTTTAAATTTTATATTATTATTTTTTTGTTTATCTTTTTTCTTTTTTCTTTCTCTTGTTGGTTACCTATGAGATTTGCTTAATCAACTTAGTGCTTTAGACTAAGCTTACATACATGTTTCTTTGTATGTATGTACTGTGAACTCGGCCTAACTAAAACTCTTATGTAGTTGAAACATTTGTTTTGCTGTTTTTCCTTTTGAGTATGAAAAAATCTAAATAGTTTATTTTTTCTTTTCTTTTGTTTCTGCCATACTTAACCACATGTACACGTATGTATTTGCGATGCGCCACGTCGATATTTGCATGCGTATGCGTAAAAATATTTTTGAAAAAACGCAACGCCAACACTGACGCCAACGAATGCAAAATTACGGTAATCACGATAATGTACGACGACACGTATTGTTGAAAATTATGAAATTATGGAATTCACCATCACACGCCAAAACTTACACAAACAAACACGTATCCAATTGGGTTGTCACACAACCAATTTCAACACAAACGCCGACACTACCGCCACCCACACCGGCATCTGACATCAACTGGCACCTGACACCACCGGCAACCTTTGAAACATGGCACTTGCGTATGTAAATGTAGACCATCCCATACATCCGCCAATTAACAAGTCTGATCCATGGGAACTGGAATTTCCAGCTGATAATGAATATGAGATCAAAAGTATTAATGGTGTCTTCCACGTTTACAAGGATAAGGTAAGTTGCCTGTCGTGGGCTTATGCATTTAATTCAACAGCTTCTCTTTTTTTTAAATAATATGCACAAAAACATTCACAGTTATGCACGGAGGAAGTCAAATGTGAATATCCAAATCTCAAAGAGTTCGTTAATGACATGCAGGTCATGTGTAATATGATCGTCGATGGCCCACTGTGAGTTTATTTGCTGCTGATTTTATTACCATTGTAAATAATTTATCTAAAATTGTTTTATTTTTCATTTTCTGCAGTAAATCATTTTGCTATCGCCGACTCTGCTATCTCTCATCGAAATTCCAATTACATGTTCTTTTGAACGAACTGCGTGAATTGGCCTCACAGAAGGCGGTGCCGCATCGCGACTTCTATAATATCAGGTGAGAACTGTTGAAGAGTAAAGTTTTTTAGTTTTTGTAGATGTATAAGCAAAATGTTTCGAAAATAATAACTTCACACATGTTTTTGACTCCAAAACGTAAAAAAAATACCAAGCAGAGAATAAAATTCTATGTTTATAGTTAAATTGCCAAAGCTTGTATTGTTATCCATAATTTTTCTCCTCCAATTGAGGATTTTATATATTTTTCAGTACTTTTATCTTATTTCTATGTTTTCGGACATTTCCTTTTATTTTAACTACTTTTTTTTACTTTATTTAAATTTATTTTATTTTACATTAATTTATTTTGTTTTATAGCTGGATTTTATTTTTTTATTTAATTTTATTTTCAATTATTCAATTTATTTAAATTTACTAGTTTCGCTATTTTATTCTTATTTTATTTTATTAAATTAATTTATTTAAATTTATTTTGTGTAAATTTATTTTATTTTGCATATTTTGTTTTATTTCAATTTAATTTTGATTGAATTGATTTATTATTTTGCTTTGATTTATTTTAATTTACTTTAATTTGTTTTATTTTATTTTGTTCAAAATCAAATTTATTTATTTTGTTATTTTTTATTTATTTCATTTTAACTTTTTCTTTTTTTATATTAATTTTATTTAATTTATATATATTTAATTTTATTTATTTATTTTTATTTTTTTATTTTTATTTATTTATTTTTTTTATTTATTTTTTTTTTTTAATAAATTCTTTATTATTTTAATTAAATCAAAAAGAAACAAAACGATCGTCATCTGACCGAACAGAACCTCGTCTAAAACGACGGAAAGCACCAATCGACGTGAAATTGGAATGGAAAAATTATCGAAAGTCTAGTATGACTTGAAGTCTAGTATGAAAGCTACTACCGATTTATTCCTATAAGAGATTTGGGTTTAAAATACTTCAAAAGTCAGCTGTTATCAGATGTAAAATAGTGTAAAGATCTATTTCATTAGATGTAAATAGAAAATTTTCAAATTAAATTGATTTTTCTAAATATTTTGGTTTCCCTATGGACTGCAAATGTTACGTATACGCACTGTCGTACTATAAGGAGTAAATTTAACTAAAATCTCTCATAATGTCATTTAATACCTCAAAACTTTTCAATTAGTTTTTTGTATGTGCTACTAATTTTCAGGTTCCTGCTTATTCACTCAACTCTCTGAAGTGGGAATTTCCTACGATAATTACTTTAATAGTGATTGATTTCCATAAACCCTCTGATACATCTATATGCGTACAAATAGCTCTCAATGAACAATGCTATTCCACAGCAAACGCTAGAGCTTGAGTTGGACGAATTCAGAGCTTTGTGTTTTAGATTGACTCTAGATCTATACTTTATTGAAATTTTTGTTTTGTTTAATTTTATTGAATTTTTTGTTTTGTTTAAATTTTATTGAATTTTTTGTATTAAATATCTTTTTTATTTTAATTTTTTTGTCTAATTGTTTTTTATTTTATTTATATATTTTTCTTTCTAATTTAATTTTATTATTTTAATTTTCATTTTATTTTATTAGTTTATTTATTTTTTGTTTTTAATTAATTTCATTTAATAAATTTTTATTCTATTATTATTTTTTTTAAATTTTTTTTTTAATTTTTTTAATTTATTAATTTATTTATGTCTATTTTTTATTTCATTCATTTATAAATTATTATTTCTTACTTTCTTTTTTATTTTGTTTTTTTGTTAATTTTTTAATTTAATGAAACTTTTTTTGAATAATAAAATATTTTTTCTATTTTATTTAATTTTTATTCATTTTTTTTGTTTACAAATAATTATTAAAAGTAGATATTTTTTTTTGCTTAATATTATTTATTTTCCTTTTCTTCTTACAGAAAAGTGGACACTCACATACACGCTGCCTCATGCATGAATCAAAAGCACTTGTTGCGTTTCATTAAGAAAACACTGAAAAATAATGCCGATGAAATTGTAACAATCACCAAAGGTCAACCAATGTCACTTAAAGATGTTTTCCAATCGATGAATTTAACAACGTACGATCTAACTGTAGATATGTTGGATGTGCATGCTGATCGGAACACATTCCATCGTTTCGATAAATTCAATTCCAAATATAATCCCATTGGTGAGTCACGCTTGCGTGAGGTCTTCCTTAAGACGGACAACTACTCGAATGGCAAATATTTTGCGCAAATTATTAAGGTAATTAAAAGTGATAATAATGAAATAAATTTCTTAGATTCTCAATATGATATATATCTATTTATTAATTTTTTTTTTTATTTTTGATTTAATAATTTCTTTTTATGTCCGTTCGTTTTCAACAGGAAGTCGCCTTCGACTTGGAGGAATCCAAATATCAAAACACGGAGTTACGTCTCTCCATTTATGGTAAATCACCGGATGAGTGGAAAAAGTTGGCCAAGTGGGCCATCGATTACAATGTACATTCGACAAATGTGCGCTGGTTGATACAAATTCCACGTCTTTAGTGAGTATATAAATATTTTTTTATTTTTATAATATTTACGTTTTCTTTTACTAATTATTTACTAACCTCCAAATTCTCTGTGCTCCCACAGCGATATCTTCAAATCCAACAATTTAATGACTTCATTCCAAAATATATTGGATAATATCTTTAAGCCACTCTTTGACGCAACAAGTCGCCCTAATGAACATCCCGAACTGCATCGTTTTCTCAATTATGTCATCGGTTTCGATTCTGTGGATGATGAATCAAAGCCAGAAAATCCAATTATTGATTTAGACATACCAACACCGGAAGCATGGAATGAGGAGGAGAATCCACCATATGCCTACTATATTTACTATATGTATGCGAATATGACCGTGCTGAATCAATACAGAAAGTGGGTCTTGAAATACGCTTGCAGCAGTATAAATTGTTCTATATAAATTTAATTTTTATTTTTTATTTATTTTTTGATTAGAGCGCGTGGCATGAACACTTTTGTTTTACGCCCACATTGCGGTGAAGCTGGTCCTGTACAGCATTTAGTTTGCGGTTATTTAATGGCTGAGAATATTTCTCACGGTTTACTCTTGCGTAAAGTGCCTGTTTTGCAGTATCTCTTCTATTTAAGTCAAATCGGTATTGCAATGTCTCCGCTCTCCAACAATTCACTCTTCCTCAATTATCATCGTAATCCGCTACCCGAGTATTTGGCACGCGGCCTAATTGTTTCGCTGTCGACCGATGATCCACTTCAATTCCACTTTACCAAGGTGAATTGTATATATATATATACATTATATATATTCATTGGATAATTTTTTAACGAATCAATTTTTTTTTTTTGAATTTTAGGAACCTTTGATGGAAGAGTACAGCATTGCGGCGCAAGTGTGGAAGTTGAGCTCATGTGATATGTGCGAATTGGCACGCAACAGTGTGATTATGAGTGGTTTCCCGCATAAAGTAAGTGTAAAATATTCCACTATTAAAGTTAAGTTGAGCTTTGGGTTTTGTCTCAAAGTATTTCCGAGTGAAATTAAGAAAGAAATGTGGTTTAGTGAAATCGTTACGTGCAAAGGTATGATAAGTTCCACACCCAAACACAAGAATGAGAACTTTCTTTCACAATCTTTACTCTAATAAAAGAGTTTTATCGTGGTTAATATCGTGATATTAATTTATAGAGACTTTAAAAACAATTTTTTTAATGATAATGAAATCAAAAAACATCCAAAGCTTAGTTAGTCCAATTATCGGGCTCAAAAAGATGCTTGGACTGTATTAAGACGACTTTCAAGGCCTTTTAAAGGCTTTCATGTCTATTAGCAAATTCTATGTAATTTTCAAACTGCAAGAAAAGTTGAGTTTTCGATCCTGAAACTTGTTTTTTTTATTAGTTATCTTTGGTAACCTTCGTTTATCGGTTGAAGTATTTATCTACGATTCATCTACGGTACTACATCAATATTGAAAGATAAAGGAAAGATAATGCAGTTAAGAAGTTAATTCCTTCAAAAATATGATATCGAAATCAAACTATCACCGAATCGAGGAACCTAAATACGGCAAGCACACCACCGCTTCCGCTGTAGATGTGAAGTACTAGACGGAAGCGCACGATAGAGTCGCGTTCTCTGTTAAGGTAAGAGAAGAACAACCGAAACCTCACTCCCCACTTCTGATTCTAAGCACCGGATTTCCCCGACCAAAGGCTGTTACTTTATCGACGACCTAACCCCGTTTAGATCGACTGGTAAATTGACTTAATGTACGCGCTGCCGGTTAGGGGTTCAAGAATTTACCCGCGGTAAGGCATGCCTGTCGTAAGAGGCGAATAAAATCCAATAGTTTCCGCGACAGTCGGGTTTTATACCGGAACGACCCGAATTTTTTTATTCCACAAAGGACTGTCACTCCCGCAACATACCCCAAAAATTACTTTGGGGAATATTTTTGCGGTTACAACAACAAAAACATCCATGCTTTTAATTCTTATCAGAGCTTGCATCGAACCCAGCCCTGGTGCACAGAAATATTTGTGAAGTGATGTGGGGCGGTTAGATGCAATTTGTGCAATGACTGCAGTTAAGATCTGTTTGAAACAGAATTTGGACTACGTCCCACGTAGGCCATGCTGCAAGCGGGCTCAACTGCATGTCAAAGCTATACGACTGTGCCGTCAGTACCACTACCTACTTTGTTCAACCATCCATAGAAATCCAAGGTCAAACTCACCCCTGCGCAGCTCTCTTATATCCTTTCTCCCCACCCACATTCAGCTACATCTCACTAGTGGGGTACTCTCAGCAGCTGCTAGTAACATGTACTGTAAATTTGTCCCATAAAATGGTATTATTGCTCGGGCTGGTGCCAATTTCGAGCTTACAAATCCAACACCAAATTTGCGCTCTTTTATATGGCCGTTGTAGTAAATGTCACAAGAACTTACTCGCTTTCGTCCTTGTCCCGTCCAATGCACTTCTTGGACGGCGGTGATGTTAGCCTTTATTTTTACGAGGACATCAACCAGCTGAACAGCAAGACATTCCCAATTAAGGGACCGGACATTCCAGTTGCATGTCCTCAATTCGTGATCATTAATTCATTTGCGGAGGTCGTCAACAGAAAGGGGGTATCTTATCTGAGGCGTTGCAAAATTTTTTATTGGAGCTAGTTTCTGAATGGTGGGTCCCAAACCCAGCGTACAACCTCGCTAGGCGAGTAAGATTAAAGTTTTTTTACACATTTATATAGCGAGGCGCTTGCTTCAAGCCCGACGCCGGCTCGCAGTCGTACCTCTGGTGATCGGACGCTGCAATTAGACTTCAGCAGACCCTTAAATCGAATAAGTCGGAGTGGCTCCACTGAAGCTTCCTCTCTCATTAACCGTGACCCAAGGCTCCACACGGGCGGGTTACCGCATCTTGGACACAAGAGTTAATACCTCGCTGCACCAGTGGTCCAGTATTTTTCAGATGCTAAATCAGATTAGACGAGCTTATATTTCATTCCGCGCCATCTAGTGTATGCTGAGAAATATAAAAAAAAAAGAAATACATATATAAAATACAAAAATATCTTTGATTTTATATCCTTTCATTAACCCATAATTACACCACTTTCTCCACCGCAGGTCAAACAGCATTGGCTCGGCCCCAACTACACGCGTGAGGGTGTCGCTGGCAATGATATAACACGCACCAACGTGCCGGACATTCGCGTTGCCTACCGGCATGAAACACTGCTGGACGAGCTGTCGAACATTTTCAAGGTGCACGAGGCGCCCAAAAGTGAGTAATCAACGACAGACACACTTGCGACAGCGCATACATGTACAACAACTTTGCGAGCAACAACAGTAATCTAATCCAGCTGTGCCATGGCGTTGGTGCAAAAAAAAAAATAAAAAAAATAAAAAAAGGCAAAAAACGTCGACAACATTTTCTCATGAAAGAATTTATGTATATGTGAACTCCTTAAGGCTTTTTTCTACTACTACTACTACTACTATTACTACTACTACTCTACAAATACAATACAATTTAATTATAATTAAAGTATAATATATTACAACAACAATAAAAACTACCATAACTGTTACTAAAAAGTGCACTACAATGCATTGTATACACTTATGTACATAAATGCATACGAATATTAAGTCTATACAACTGTTTAAACCGTTAAAATGGAGTGTATACTATTTGTAGTTGCTTGTTGTCTACATACATATATTTATTGAATTCTCCTTTATATTAAACAACTTAAAAAAAAAAAGAAAAGTTTGTAATTAGAAAAACAAAATAATAACAAAACCAACAAATTTCAGCGCAACAAAGTGCAAAAGACGGCTTTGCCGCTAAAAATGAGCTTGAAGATGCTAAAAATGAAATGGATAATGAAAGCGCAACAATCGCGTCTTTTTACTTAAGCACGGAATATTGCACCTGTTTGGAGAGTTTGTAATATATATTTTTTTTTATTTTAAATATATTTTTTTTATTATTATAATTTTGCCAACAGTTTAAGCAAGTGAAACAACAACAACCATGTAGAATAATATTGTTATTTATAATAACTGTAGCTCCTTTCCCCTAATAAATAACTGTTAATATTTGTTATTGTATTTATGCTGACCATTTTGTGTATTTCATTGTAATTTCACAATTCGGCTTTTTAAAGCAACAAAAAAGAAAAAAAACAGTTTATAAAAAAAACAAAAATTGTTCAAATTTATGGAAAAACAAATTGTAAACATTTCAAATGGAAAATTATATTTACTACATACATATATATATATATGAAAATGTTTTATGTTAAAAAAACAACAACAACAATAAATTATACAAAATGAATGTAAAAGCATTAAATTACCTGTTTTTATTTTTATTTTTTTTTTTTGTATTTAAGAAGGCATTCCGGAAATTCCGACTTTCAAGCGTATAGGGTTATCCATTTAGTGCTTTCAACATTACAGATTTGTATTTAGACATCTGTCAAACTTTACTGTCAAACCAAACATATTTGGTTTTGGTTAAAAGTCAGACACCAAAAAGCGGAGAGAAGCGACGAATGGCGCGCTGATATTAATTTGGCTTTGAGCGCGTAAGCGGTGCCTACGCCAAAATAAAGAAGAAGAAGAAAAAACAGGCATTAATGAAGTAGTAATTAAAACGTGAATACGTTTTGCGCCATTAAGATGAGTTTACGGTAATATTAATAATAATAACAATAATAATAATAATAATAATAATAATAATAATAATAATAATAATAATAATAATAATAATAATAATAATAATAATAATAATAATAATAACAATAATAATAATAATAATAGTAATAATAATAATAATAATAGTAATAATAATAATAATAATAATAATAACAATATTAATAAAAAGCCCAACGAATGGGAAGCATTTGTTACGCGTCGAGATTTAAAACCGTACAGAAAAAATCATTATTCAGCAGTTGAAATTTACTAAATATGGAATTTTGAAATTTAATTGTTGAGCGAAGTAAGTGTTGGAATGAAAATTAAAATGGTGACACAATCGGCGAGAAGGTTCATTCAATTTATAATTTTTTTTACATGACTTTAATAGTAAAGGCCTAAATTGCCTAGATACAGGAGTTGGAACATTAAAGTTTATTTCAGACGAACAGGGCGCCTAACATTTCTCTAGACTTGCGAGAGTAGATTGATTTAGAAGCTTTAAACGGTTGGTATAGGGAGGAAGGAAGGTTCTTCGTAGAGTTCCATCGGAAATGTCTTATTGTAAAAACTAAAAATTGTTTTTGAACAGACTTCAACTTGTCGGAATGAACCTGATAATTGGGGTCCATACCAGTGAACCATTTTCTAATATTGGCCTCACCAAAGTCATATTGAAGACTTGTTCTAGACTACATACACTTATTAGTTATATAAGGAGAAGGTTGAACAAGACTTCGCGAAAAGCATTTATAAATAACAGAAACAGAATCGGGTCGAGATGGCTACCTTGAGGAGCTTCTGATGAGACATTATTGATTTGTGATTTAGAGAATATGGCTTTATTGCAGAAGAAGTTCTCGGCCGAGTATTCTATTGTACTGGCGGGCGGTATCACTTGGCTACCGAGATCGTGCCAAAAAGTGGTCGAAATTTACTTCAAACAGTTCGATGTTTGTAAAAACTCGCAAGGCGGTCATTCAAATGATGTTCCTACATATGTATGTATATATATATATATAAATTTTACAACAAAAAAGGAGTTTCATAAAACAGAAATATTTGAAATGCATTTTATTTACGATTAACTTCGACACCGCAAAATGGGTAGCCTTATTTTCACTTGACGAGTATTGCGCCTAAAAGTAGGCACCACATTTTACTTCTTCACATCCGACTACGCTTGTTAACTGTCTCTGCGCGCCTGTAGAAAAGTGAGAATTTCGCAGGAAGCAAATGTTTTATGGTGTTCCCCTGGACACAACTCCCTACCTACACATTAGGGTGAGCCCAATATGATCATGCATATTTTTTAAAAAGTTTTTTAGCTCTAAAAAAATTATTACTTAAAATAAAATGATTTTTTTTTGTCATTGGTATACTTTAAATTTACTTATATATGCTGTCATAAAAGAATATTTAGTCTTTATCTTCGAAATATGCCGAAATTTCATGCTTCACATCAACATCGATGATACATTTCTTTTCTTCAGATCATTTCGCATCACGCGGGACCAGGTCTGAGCTGTAGCGTGAGTGATTTAAAAATTTCGAAGCCCACCTTATGCTGACAACGCAACGCGGCTCTGCTAAAGCAGCACAGCTTTCGTCAATTCGGCTCGGTTTTGTATTTTTAATGGGCTATTTACTGTTATCGACGCCGCTTACACGATTATAGTTGAATTTATGACTTTGCGTCATTCGTTTCTTTTATGCGTCGTGTGGTGCCAAGTGCAGATACCAAGTACAGCCAGATCTAGCTCTACCTGGTCTTTCCAACGGAATGGAGGTTTCCCCTTCCTCTACTTTCGCCGGCGAGTACTGCATCGAAAACTTCCAAAGTTGCGGTGCTTTCATCCATTCGGACCACATGACCTAGCAAGCGCAGGCGCTGACTCTTCATTCATTGAACTATGTCGATTTCGCCGAATATCTCATGCAGCTCATCATTCAATCGTCTTTGATATTTGCCGTCGCCAAATCGCAAAGAACCATAAAACTTACGCAAAACCTTTTTTTCGAAAACCCTTTACGCCGACTCACTAGATGTTGTCATTGTCCATGCTTCGACTGCGACTTGTAGAGTTTAGTTTTTGTTCGTGCAGAGAGAACTTTACATTTCAATTGCCTACTTAGTCCAGAGTAGCACCTGTTGGCAAGACGCTGAACTTGCTGTTGGTGTTAATACCGGTTCCATGATAGATGAAGTTATCTTTGACTTTGAAGTTATGATTGGACCTTATCAGTGTGGCTTTAGACCTGGTAAATCAATCATTGAACAGATATTCACTATGCGCCAGTTCTTGGAAAAATCGCCCTCGAAAAGAGAATCGCCACACACCACATTTACGTCGATTTTAAAGCCGCCTTCGACATCATGGCTTAGCTGGCCCAAAGCAATGGCTTCTATTAAATAAATAAAGCTTGCTACTCTTCAGTTATAGAAACACATTAAACTTTATAATCGGTGAATTATATTACTTCCCAGCTGACTGTGCCCTTTTTATGCCACTGCATGGAGTCTTCTTCGACTTAGGTTCATAATGACAAACCCAAATGCTCGCATCGGATACTAGAACATTCTTTGGATAATTTCTGGCGTGGTCATCACTCTCAAAGGCTGCCTTGTTTAAATAAACTTGTAATTGTAATTTAACACAAAAAAAATCCATTCGAGTTTTTTTCAAGCTCTTATAATATGTTTTTCTATTCAGTTACATCAAAAAAAAAAAAAAACATTCCATTGCAATAAAGAACAAATTATTAAAAAATATATATATATTGTATGTATATATTTAAATGTTAAATCATTTTTACATTAAGCCTTTTTAACAATTTTCTTATGCATAAAACATTAAAAAATAAAATAAAATTTTTTTTTTTGTTAGTACATATTAGAGAAAAAATGAAAAAACGAAAATTCGTAAACACATTTTGTTTAGTTAAATATGTTTAAATGTATGTATGTATGTATGTATGTATAGTAGTAAAGTACAAAATACGAACATAAAACAAAATTGTTTATTTTATATACTCGTATATATATATATATAAAGATGAGTGTGCATAATTAAATTTATACAATTTGCATAAACACACACACACACACACGCAACCACACTAACAACTACTACATACTATAAACGTAAGGCCTAAAATGTTTTCTTATGTGTCGTGGCTTGCTGTGGTAAAAATTAATTAAGAAAATAAATAATATATGCTTGTATGTGTGTATGGATGTATGTATGTATGTATAAAAATGCGTTTCGTTAAGGGGTAAGAGTCAGAGCAAGAAGTGGAGAATTACAATTATTCCAAAACTTGATGAAAAGTAACTCAAAAGACATGTACATATGTACATAGGTATATAATATTAAGTACATCATAAGCATAGTGATGATTCAGAACAGAAAGCATAACATAAATTATTAATTAAATTATTATAATTTTTTTAATTTTTTTTTTCAAATAAAATCGCTCAGTACTCATTGTCTGCCAAATGTTCAGCTCTTGCTCTTACTCTCTTTCGTTAAATAATGTGTGTGTTTGTGAATAAGTCGAGCAGTGTCAAAGGCCCTGACACCCGGCGCTCTTCGCACGCGACACATAAGTAAACCTAATTTATTTTCTTTTTTTAATTTTCTTTAATTCGTTTTTCTTTTTGTTTGTTTTTGGATTTTTTAATTCACTTCTTCCTTGTATAATTAAGTTTTATTGCAACTTTGGCACTACGTCTTGCATTGCTTATCGTTTATTTTTGATATATGTATGTATGTATGTATGTATGCATGTTGTTATGTATTATTATTAATTGTAATGGTCTTTTTAATGCATTTATTTAGTTAGCATCATTTATTTTTTTAATGATTTTTCATTTTTGTTTTGTTTTTGTTTCTTTAATGTCGAAATTAGTCTCTTTAGATATTTATTATACAAATACACATCGCCTAAGGATTCAGTCGCAAGTGTTTTTCTCCTTTCTGCTCCTAAAATGGTGAATTCATGCCCAATTTGGTGCCAAAATCAAGCCTCGCACGTCGTTGATAGCGCGTGTTAACTCTGTAGCAAAGAGACAAGAAAAATTAATTGAAAAAAGAGATAAAAACTAATAAAAAGCAAGAAAGAATAAGTTCGGTTGGAACCGAATATTAGATACTCGCAGCTGGATATTAATATTAAACGCCAGGCGGCTTATCGCACACACACAGAAGTACTAAATTTCAGTTATATGGCTGGTCGGCTTGTTTGTGGAGCTATGAAAGAATTTTATTGCCGAACTGTAACTGTCATAACCTCTAAGGAGCTCATCAACCAGTGTGAAATTTTCAAAATTTTTTTTTTTGTTTTTTACATTATTCCTATGCCGTCGAAAAAAAAAAACAGATACTTCAACCCAAGATGCGTAACTGTAATAGTTTTCAAGCATAAAAAGGTACCATCGGATTAAAATCCTAAATTTGGCATTAAAAATACCGTCAGTTTTCGAGACTAGATTTTAACTTTTTTTCAAGACGACGCCAGTTTTTATGGACTTAACTTTTCACCTCAATCGTAAGTCACTTTATGGTTCATACAATCCTCTTACGCGTTTTCTGTCTCATGGCATTTTGGGTTGCCTGAAGGCAGTTGACAGCAAAATGAAAACTTGATTACAAGATTTCAGTTTAAAAAAATGTAAATAAGCATTATTTATTTCTTTATTTATGGAGAGAATGAGAAGTTTCCTTTAAAAAAAATTTCCAAAAATTACTTTTTTTCAGCTGCCACACTGGTTGAGTACCTCAAATAAGATCAAGTATTATCGATGAATTCTTTAAATATTCAATACAAAGTCCACATATGGGTCTATTGGTTGGTCTATGATATTTCCGTACTTAAATCAGCCAATTTTGGTAGCAAATTTTTTTTTGTTTGCACATTTGCAACCACCGTGCGATTACCGGCAGAGCTCTCCCTCCAACTTGAGGACCTACAGCCTTTCACTTCATGTCAGAAATGACTCTCGGATGGGTTGACATTTCCTCGTAGAAATTTGGTCGGCTACGAAGTTTGCTTCACTTTTTGCGAGGAGTGCAAGTAAAAAGTCAATTCATGTTCCTGTTAGACCAGGGGCAGGACAAATATCAATATTTCTCGAGTTCTGAGACATACTTTTTGATCCAAAAGTAAGTTTTATCACGTCCAGTTCTTTCCGACCTCTGATATATACATTTTATAAACAACCGTTGTATGTAAACATGCCGTGTGTGGGCCAACAATTCAGGGATTTTAAATTTTTTTCGCATCGAGCTGTAGTTGTTAACGATTTTAAGACTAAAAACTCGTTCAACACCTATCGATCAACCACCGTAAACGCCGTGAAACCCGTTTCGATGCGATTGAGGCCGTAAAAGAAAATTCCCAGCGGGAAATGAAAGCGATGAAGGCATGTTTCGATGATTGGAAAAAAAGTTTGATATCGTTTCAGAAGGAGCATGTTTTGAAGGCGACAAAACAAATATTGGTGAAGATTAAAAAAATTTCATTTTTTTACAATTTCTGTGCAGTGCGTCTGAAGAAAAAGAATAATTTGTTGGAACCGGCCACATCGGACGACCATAACATAAAGCTATCAAGCAATTTATTTTGTTTCAGATATGAGATTTTGGGTCATAAATACTTCGATATTCTGTACTAGTAAACTGAAATGTACATTGGCAACGAAAATCATCGAAATCGGACGACCATAACATATAACCCACATACAACCGATACGTTCAGATATGAGCTTTTGGGACATAGTGCGTTAAAAGAGCGGAAAATTGTGTATACTATACACATGCATTCAAGTAATATTGACTCTGAATATCATTGAATTTTGCATTTCACAATAAATTTGGTAAGTACATGAAAGGTATTAAGACAATACAGTTTACTTTAGTTTCTATTTAATTCGATCGTCTCTAAGAAATATGACTTTAATTGCACATTTAGTTACGGTATTATCGCGCCTTTCACACTTTGCCAAATAACCGTAATATGGGAGGTTGGCGTGAACTCGATATGATTAAACCCATTTGCAAGAGTGGCCGTACTAGTGACTCAAGAAATTATTGAGCCATGAAGCTTATTATATATTGGGTATAGTAAAAAGAAATCCATTATTTTTGCATAAAATTTAAAGGTTTAATTTTCCTTTTCATATTCAGCCTTATTCAAATGGATCCAAACCGGTTTTTGTACAAGCTTTAGCTCTTTGGCAGTCGAAACAGTGCTTACATGACGGTCGGACTCGACAATGTCCGTGGTTTTATCGACATTTTCGACAATTTTCCTTCCACTCCGTGAAGCATCTCTTACATAAAAATTACCAGAAAGAAACCGAAATTGTGCGCAATTGATTGTTATAGTATAAGGACCAAGTCTACATTCACATCACATTTTTAGCCGCCTGGCTTGCGTTTTCGGCGCTACCGAAGAAGAAAAACTATAAAATATAGCGTATTTTCTCTTTGACGCACGCTCAAAAATAACTGAATTAACCAATCACAAAACTGACAGAGAAGCATTTTTAGCACGAAATGTCATCTTTCTAACGCAATCCAGCGGAACCCGAGCGCATTTATGCAACGCGAGATAAAGATAAATAACGCCATCTAATGGAATAATGATGGATTACTTTTTACTACACCTAATATATGTATATATGTCCATATCTAACGAGATTACAATATGTCGTTACATACAACCGTATGCACATTGATTGTACAGCCGAGCAGGAAAACAAGACACAAAAGAATCACTTTTCACACTCACTTAATCTCCTGCCACTTGCATATCTCCGTCACTAGCAAACTGATAAAGCTGCCACCGTAGAGAAAAACTATCGCCGGCCACACGCCGCATGCCTCATTGAAGTAGTTGTCCTGCAGCGCAATTTGCACCGCACAAATGATAGCGTGCACCAGGAGCGTGCAGCCACAAGTGAAAGCCCAAATGCGATTGCGAAAGGGATTGCGCTGCCACAGCGAGTGATCGCGATGCACGAAACAGGCGGAGATCACCACTGAAAGGTGAAATATCATAATTAATAGTTCAAGTGTGAAAAGCGTAAAATATTTTTTTTGTCCAAATAATTACCGAAATGCATCAAAATGCCGAGAAATGAAAAGATGCGTGCCATTTGCAGATTGATGTGCAATTTCTCCTCGTCAATGTCAATGAGTTCGATGGGATGCGCCATAAATGTGCAGTACGCGAAAACCTGTTGGTAAATTCAAAAACTGATTAATAGGGAACATTTTCTGCTAAATAGAAAACCAAAAGCTTAAATTATATGGAAATTTCGACGAGTTCTGATTTCACCCGACGCTAATTTGAGCCTTGCATCTGCCTACTCCAGCTTAAGTTGTATTACCGACAGTCGACATCGGCTAAGTTAGGAGAGATACAAGGAGGCACAAGATCCCAGCATGGAAACCTTAGAGATTCACAGGGGTTGAGGTGGTGGATGCTTATGATGCTAAGGACGTTGGTGGTGTTGTGCCTTTTACGGAAGTTATACTAATGCGCTGTTGTTGTTGTTGTTGTAGCGGTTACTCTACCCCGCTTAGGGACAGGCTAGTTAGTCTAAGTCATCAAGGTCATCTAACGGAAGGTCCAGGAAACGCGCTGTTTCGAAGGGCTCGGACCAGAGGGAGAGAAGGTTTAGATGTGTCGGTTTTAGAGTTCATGTGAAGAGGTGGTTAGTATCGTGCTGGACATACGTTGGATATGCTGGGGTCAAGTTTGGATAATTAGAAGTTTAACCTGCTACAATATCCAGACCTAAGTTGCGCCAGTATTACGCGGGTTTCTCAAGGCAGCTCGAGCTCTTCGTCTGCTAGCATGAGCATGCCACTCACGTAGAGCGAGTCTTTGAAGGTGTTAACTGACTTCTGGTAAATGGCGTTTAGTAACTGTCTGTACACCGTCCTGTCCAGCGGTTGTTGAATTTAAATCTACTACTCCCTTTCTGATTTGCCTAGGGGAAGCTCAGCCTCTATTAGATATCTTGCGGTAGCATCCCAACAGAAATTGCTTGCATAGCAAAGCATTATGGTCCTTAATTCATAGCATAGATGCTTCACTGTATAAGTAATGCTCATGCGACATCACAAGGTTCCCTGTCGCGGTCCTAAAGGCGGTGTTTAGGCAAGCCTGTAGCTTCTTTATTTACGTCTCGTTCATCCCCGGCGCCCAGGTTGGGTCAACATATTTTTCATCAGGCCATCGGCCCATTGCTTTGTAGGTTGCCATCAAGGTTTCTCTGTTTTTACCTCAAGTGCTGCCGGCTACCGCTTTGAGCTCTTTGTTGCGGCAGTTGCTGTCTTATACGGAGTGCAGGCTCTCAAATGTGATTCCCAGTATCTTAGGGTTATTTGTTATCCCTTCTTTCCTCCTTGAGTCCAGCCGCACATGAGCATGGCTTCCGCAAAGTGCACAGTAACACAACATCATGCCAGAAACACTCAGATAGCCAATGGCTCCAACCAAAACCTGCTCTGTGGAACGGTTAACTGTGCTGGTAGCACTGGATTTGTCAAAAGCTTTTGACACTGTCAACCATTCGGTCCTACCATCGGACATTGAGGAATGCTCATTACCATCCGGGTTGAAAAGGTGGATCATGGGTTATCTGAGGGATCGTCAATCATCGGTAAAATTTCGAGGTGAAACAACAAAACTTATAGATTAAAGACGGGCTTCCATAAATCAATGCACCCCAACCATAAGATAATGATGATCTTTGCTCGAAAGTGAACGCCTATCGCGACGACCTGTCCCACTTCCATACTGTACGACTGCTCAAAATTCAACTGACCAAATCCTCGACTACCCTTTTCACAAGCCGGACGAAGGCTCGAGCTTTATGTGTAGGTCGATGGCGTCAAAATTCCAACCACAAACTAATGCGCTGGTGAGTCTATGTGGTGGGTGAGCGACTTGACCGTGATCTAAATCTTGATTCCCCCAGAGAGGAAGGTTGCAGGACCTTCACTTTCCACCGCGATTTAGCGGACAACAGTGGTAGTGAGGGTCTCGCGAAATTATGGTTCACAATTATTCTGTCCAATGGTAAGGTGAGGGCACTGAAGTTGATCCCTGTAGATGATTTCAGGTCCTGCGTCCCGAGAGTAACTATAACTTCATACCCGGAGAGAGGTCTACACCTAATTATCGTAGTGGATTATCTTATAAGTTAAGGAAGAAGCTTAAAAATATTTTATTTTCGAAATATTCAAACGTATTTCACATGAACTCACCATAACCAGGATGGGCGCAATGAACTTGCAGCCGTAACACCAAACAACGAAACCGAAAACACGCGTATCATATTCCGTCTGCTTCTTGCCTGTGGCGCGATTCATAATTTTCGGATCGACATCGATGTGCGCCAAGGCGAGCGCAATCAGTGGCACTGGTATGGACATTAAGTAGAGAACCATGAGCGGTGTCAGCAGTGGTGGCAAGGAGAGACAAGCGCTAAGAATGTTGATAACGGAAAGTGTGCCGGCGCAACAGGCCCAATATTGTATGCAGTTCCAGAGACCAGCAGAAAAACGGCGTGACAGCTCGATAATTGCGACTAGAGACAGCGGCTCATCGCGACATACCGAAATGGAGCAGGGCAGCGAATTAAGCAGGCGACTCAAGTAGACGGGTGAGACGGTGTTGCCCGCCGATTGCATTGGACGCATTTGTGGCTCTTCATTGCCATAGAAACCGCTTTCGAGCAGCTCTTCGGTGGTGTAAGGCTCATGGGTGCCATACTTCTCCTCGCCCTTGAGGTCCTTCTTCAGCCGCAACAGGCGCAACTTGTTATTAGTCAAATTGCTCTCTGTGTAAGCGCCGATATCTTGACAAACTTGCGGATACAGCGGCTCCACAGCAATACTGCAATCGGCTTGCAAAAAAATTCTCGCATTTGAATTGCTCGCCGATGAGCCGAGGCAAACAACAATTTCACCATACGATTGCATGATGTCAAGCATTTGGCGGGTCGCCTCGGGCGAACAGTCTGTGAAAAGTGACACTTGCAATGGCACATTGTCCACCTGCTCCAAATGTGGACGTATATTCTCTATGCCACGCGGCAGTTTGGCGCGATTCGACATGTCGAAGTGCACGGGTGCGCTCTGTTCCGTGCTCTCGGTAATTATGCTCATTGAACGACAGTTTTCATCCATCGCCGAATCCTCCGACTGACGATGCTCATCTGCAACAGCGCCTGCAACCATTTTTTCAGTGTCTCTAGCGCCATCCAACATGTGCAGCGACTCCTCTTTACCATTACCTTCACCACAACTGGCGCTGCTGCGACGCGATGGTGGCGTGGAGCTCAGCAGCACCGGGTGGTAGTCGTCGGGATTGGAGATTGCGCCGGGCGCTGATGAGCTCAACGTCTTGGAAGCCTCAAGATTTGGTGGCGGTAGCAGATGATGCAAGTCGTTGCCCTCGTCATCACCAGCGTGATCGGTGCCGCCTGCACCGCCTGTAATATTCGAAGTATTTAGGTGCTTGATTTGTGATTGTGCGGGATGCGTGCTACTAATACTACTACTACAATTGTTGTTGTTTTGGTTGTTTGTCGGATTGCTTATGGTTGGGGTGCACTGATTTATGATTTCAACATTATGAGACAATGAAATATTATTGGTGTTGGCTGAGTTGATGGTGCTTGTGGCAGTGTTGTTGCTGTTTCTATTGATGACTGTACTGATGACTTTTGGATGATCATGAGCGGACTCGACAATGTTGATGTTGCTCGCAGCGCTTGTCTGCGTATTCTTGTTACCCGTGCGCGCGGCCATTTGTGCCGCTGCATTTTTCGAATTCGCTGACGTACCACTCGTGTTGGCCTTATCCGTATGCACCGAAGCCTTATCGTCGGCCTCATTCAATAGCGATATGTGACAATTCCAACCGGACTCCAGACCCATCTTCTCCGAGAACACACGTGAGCGCAACTCATTCTCCTTGCTGAAATGCACGAAACGTATGCAAGCGCGCTCCAAACGCTCCACCAGCTGTACAATATCCGTCTGCGCCTGATACTGCATCGTTACCATACCGATGAATACCTGATGGCATTGCATTTCGAAACAACCATCCACATCGTTGATATCATCGTCTTTGCACTCGCTGAAGAGCAAAGAGTCCGTGCTGATGCTGTGACTCAATTTGTTGTGTGCATGGCCGGTGTTCTCAAAATCGCAATGAGCGCGATCGACATGCTGCATGCGTATTTTCGACTCCGGCGGCAATTCGAGGTAAGCAATTGGGCCGCCGGTACGCTGTACGCCGCTGAGTGCGCCATGAATGCCATGGCGCAGGGGGCGATAAGAGAACGCCGTGCAGTAGGCGGTGAGTGCGCTGCGTTGATAGAAATCGAGCGCTTTCTTACGATCCTGTGCCGAGAGTGGACGCAGATCTTTGCCATCCCAAAAATCATCACAGAAATCCATTATAATGTCGGCGGTGCCTTGGGTGAAGAGGGAAAGATAACCTCCAGGATTCTCGCGCATAACCACCGACAGCGAGTGTGGAAAGGGTACTTTCACCTTGGACGAGAGTTGCAGTTGGCGCGCAAAGCGTATATCGCGACGCACCACTTCCGGTTGCTGGCAGAGAGAAAGAGAGAGAGAGAGAGAGAGAGAGAGAGAGAGAGAGAGAGAGAGAGAGAGAGAGGGAGAAAATGATGGTGAAAAATTAAGCATTAAATTACTACAACAAATATTTCAACTCACCAAATGCCTATACGAAGCCAGTTGACCCTCCAGCGAGAAACGATCTGTGGCATGATCGGTAAAACCGATTTGTTTCGCCAATTCGCAGAGGCAACGTCTACACGCGTGTTCATATTGAAAATAATCAAACATTTTATATTAGCAAAAAAAAAAGCAAAAGAAATAGAAATATCAACAGGGTGGGTGGGATGAAAGGACACACTTATGTATGTATGTATGTATGGGCATTATAAAATGTAGCTATGTTCTATGTATGTAAGTATGTATATATTTTTAATTCACAACTTTAGTAATGACTTGGTTTGTACTTAAGTATGTATGTAGTACTTGGGACGGCATTAAAACAAATTAAACGATAATTTAATTTAATTAATATGAAAACAAAAATTATTATTTCAGAAAAGTGTCCTCGGTCTTCGTGTAAATAATTGTAAATACACAAACACTTATTAGGTAATCGGTGAATAATATACGAAGCTATGATCACAAATGGATTTTGTACTGGACGACTAAGTTCATGGTCTAGTTTACATATATGTATGTATTGTACAATATATAGTAAGTATACAAATTTATAGGTATATATATTACAAACGCATAGATCTAAACACAAAATTGCAAATAAAATAAATACATTCCTTTAAATAAATATTTAAAATAATAACAATCTATATGTATATATGTATATAAAAGGCATCGCTCTGAATGACCGCTGGATCGACCCACAGTGTAAGCCACTGTTTGGAGGGGTGTGTTCTGTGCATGACGTATGCGATGCGAAAGGATTATCAACAAAGTGAACCTGGTGCAGATCAATACGAAAAAATCGAATTTAGTTTTACATGTAATTCGGTTCAGAGGCAGCGCATTTCCTAGATCGACATGTAGAACACTTTTACTTTCGAGAGGTGAATCTGGGACCGATCTAAGAGGAAAAATCTCTTTCCTTAGCTTTATATGTATGTGCAAAACTTTTCTGGGATTCGCCTAATATCTGGAATATAAACCAGGCACCGATTTATTCGAAAATATGAATGAAGGTTCGATATGCTCTTAGTAAGATAACATCTCTCGCCGAAATGTGGACCAAAAAAGTCACCGCCTCATATCGCTTGATACTTGATATATAAGTATATTTTTGTCTAGACTTAAAAGCTTTTAACAGCAAAGGACCTCCGTCGATAAGCAACAGACAGCCGAACAAGTTTCCACTCTACTTGCACTCCTGCTATCTGAGGTTAATCATCACTAATTCGGTATAAGGAAAAGTTACCTACCTACAGCTGCATGCGGAAATATTGGTATTCAGAAAGGAAGGTTGGCCACTACACGTACGGTGTGGAATAAATGCCGAGAATTGAAGGGCGAAGCGAGACGCGTGTGCAGACAAAAGAGGAAAGGAGCCGAAATGCGTGAGTATGAAGAGTTTGAGAAATTGGCGGACAAGACTCGTGCATTACACAAAGAGGTGATCTAGCCACCGCACCGATGCCCAGCGTATATTGAATTTATAGAGGGGACACTTCTCCAGCTTTGCTGAATGGCAGTGAAAATGGAGAGTCGAGCGATGGTGAACCCTAAACACCAAACGACGACGATGGAAAAGACGTTCCATTAACTAACCATGTAAAAGTCCAAAGCAAACGCACGCCTAAAGAACAAGCAAGCGGTGGGAGCTGACTTCCGACCGGCAGAACTTTTCAAACAGGGCGATGAAGAGAGGACAAGGTGCATGCAGCAGCTACTACGCAGAATATGGTCGGAGGAAAGCATGACCGACGATTGGAATTTAAGTTATGCTGGGGACTCACAGTCCACGCCAATTACCGTGGAATAAGCCTTCTGAACATCTCCCATAAGGTCCTATCAAGCGTATTGTGTGAAAGACTAAACCCGAGCGTGAACAAACTGATTGGACCGTATCGGTGTGGCTTTAGACCTGGTAAGTCAGTCGTCGTTCTTAAAGCAACCTTCGACAGCACGAAAAGGAGCAGCATTTACGCCGCTATGTATGAATTTGGTATAGCCGCAAAATTTATACGGCTCCGTCAAGATCGGGAAGCATCTCTCCGAGCTGTTCAATACGAAACGAGGTTTCAAACAGGGTGACTCTTTCTGGTGTGGCTTCTTTAATCACACAAAAAGACATTACATTCGCGACTCGGCCCACACGTCACTGTTGACAGCCATAACTAGATCGTAGATCATTACGTCTATCTTGGAACCGTCATTAACACCAAGAACAATGTCAATTACGCTAGGATTATGTACTTGGGCTTAGCGCTACAACTGGAGTTCTTCGTCTGCATGGGAAGGTAGTTCGATGCCGGTAACGCTATTTAAGTAAAGATGTCTGTAACATCTCAGTGAATATATTATGCTTGCTAGGCGGGAGCTTAGATGTCTGCCTCACAGTGAAGTGAAAGGCACAGGCGAGCTCAGGAGATTTCTCCGATACTCTTCTCAAGGTGATGTTTTGACATAATTAATAATTATTATTATTAATATTTATTATATTAATAAATTTAAGGAGTGTGGGGGGGGGGACCCTGCAGGAATCTAATATATTAAAATGGCTGTTGGAATGGGCGCCTCATTCCAACTTCTAGATTACGATACATACATATGTAGTTAGCCAGGCGACAATTAAAGCAATAATCTCACAACGTATTGTGTCAGAAAATGTCCTTAGAAGCAAAGAAGCAGATCTGGCTGCTTGATCACAGTGAAATGAGACGCATTAGCGACATGCAAAACAACCAAGTCATCAAAGGAAACAACCATAACTTGCATACGAAATAAGAACGAGCCACAACCTACTGGCGGCACATGCAAGCAGTATGATGACTAGCAGCAGTGACTCATGCAGGAAGTACAGGGAGAAAGACGTGAGTGAGAGGTAAGAACACTGCTTTCGTGTCTGTTCGGCTTTAGCTGGCACTTGCCCTAAAGATCTCGAAGCTACGCAGTTTAGAGGATTAGAGGTGGTTTCAAAATTGTATATTAAGGATTTCTTGAACTGTGCTGAAAGCCGTCGACGCCTTAAGCGACTTATCCTTTAGAGCGCAAAAAACTGGATTTTTCTTTTCTAGCATTAAGTCAATGTAGGGTGAATCGGTCGGCTGGTGTAACCTAACCTAGCTTTTATTTGTATTATATTGATAAAAAGCAATATTGGGGTATTCAATATATTTGAGAATTTAGATATTAAAATAAAATTATTTTTTTTTTTGTTTTTCAAATACCCACATATACATACATATATATTCTAGTTTTTAGACAAAAAAAAGTTTCAAACATATAAACTAAGGAGTTAAAAGCACTGCACCTGCATCCATAAAAAATATTCTACACAAATGACAAAGTAAAAGCGGAGAATGGCAATATTTACTGTAAAAAGCTAACGAATAAAGAGAACTGTCTCAAATAACTACAAATAGGCACAACAATAAATTAGCAAAAATACTTTAATTAATCACTAATGAAATGAATTAAATATGCGGATAAATGCAGCAATTAATTACGATGTCAAAACTTTACAAAAAAGCAACAAAAAAAATGTAATTTCATTTAAATATACATGCCGAAAATTTGAAGTTGATTTGGGGAAAAAGACAAAGCGTTATTAAATATGAAAACTGTTATTATGATAAAATCAGTGCAATTAAACCTGTTATTCGTTTGCAGCGTTAAACGCTTCAGCATAGCTTTTTGTATGAGTACAAACTTTTTTTTTGCAGTTAATAAAAACAAATTTACATTGAAATAATTAACAATTATAAACAGCAGCAGCATCAAAAATATGTACTAAATGGCAGTAACATCAAAACCAATAATACAAGAGTAATTTTGTTGAGTTTTCTTGTTGTTATTCTCTTAATTTTTTTTCTGATTTTTGGTTTGGTTTTTTGGGGGTAAAAGAACGTTAGTGTTGTAGTGCTTGGAAAATAGCTTCGCATCTTACATGAATTGATTTCAATAAATTTCATAAATTTTCTTTTTTTCAAATCACATTTTGCATAGGCTCTTAGGCACATAGCACGTTTTCTGCTCAGTTTGTCTTATTATTGTATAATGTAATTTTCTTTATAAATTTAGAATTTTGGGCTTCACTTTTATTCTTTCTTTTCTGATTGTTGTACTAGTTTTGCTTTAAAATTTTGTTCGCTTAATATTTGTGCAAAATACAAAAATTTAATTGGAAACAAATTTTAAATCTTTTTATATATATAGAAAAAGAATTTAGAAGATAATCGGTTTAAAACTGTATATAAAGGTAAAAAGGAAAATATAGTATTGTATATATTCAATATAAAGAAACCAAAAGTATTTAACCAAAAGAACCAAAATACAGGCAAGCTTCGAAAATGAACTACGTACCCATGCAAAAAGCTAGTCAAACTGGAGTCAACGTTGGCATACCGATTTGTCACAGGCACTAAATCTTTATCCAACATCGCCACAGCCGTGACATGTCCACAAAATTGCGCATAATGTGCGTGCGTCAGCGGCGAGCAAGTGTTTAGGAGTATGGCGAGACCTGAAAATATGCATTGCATTGTTAACAATATATAAATTAAATCAAATTAAATTAAAATTATTCCATTAAATTCACCGCTCACCCAACGGTTTAAGTGATTTGATATGAGTCTTCCATTCGTGATCATCGAATTCCAGCCGAAATGGACAATGTTGATCGTGTGTTAGATCGAGCACTTCTGCTACAATACCACCATCTTTACTCTCCGCTTGACTAGTGCGATTGCTTTCGGTATTTAGCGTTGAGCAACTTGTGCTGCGGTCGTCCAAGTGCTCATCGTCGCTATCATGTAAGAAGAAAACCTTTTCAGCAGTGGGATTTGGCCACGACAGTATACCTTTCTTGTCTATACAACAAAGTGCGGTTATTGAACCCAACACTTGCACTAAATTCGATGAACGTGGTAGTAATTCACTATCACCATTCCATAGTTGCCACCAATTGCGAAAGACATTTGAACGCAACAGCGAGATGTTATCATAATCGAATGTGGGTGTGTCTAAGTCTTCTTCGAAGGATTTCTCTGAATCTTTTGTGATAAGTACTTGTGGTATTTTGAGAAAGTATTGTAATCGTGCCACACCCCACAAGTTCATAGATATCCACATAATGGGGAAGATGAGTGGCAGTAATGGAATCACAGCGGCCGCTGGTGTTTCAAGGAAAACATATTTCCAATAATGTTGTTCGTCGGGATGTGTGCCAGCGTTGGGTGAGGTGCTTAAGCCATGTATGCGCAAGAGACCGGCGAACAGTGTGAAAAAAAGCGCACATATGAAACCCCATTGTTGTATGTACTTTGTCACCAGCTGCAGAAATGGAAAGCAAATAATTAGCACAAGAATGTTTTTATGAATAATATTTGGAATAATGCATAAAATTGATTGCAAAGCTTTTTGAGGATGCCTTTAGTTGAATGGTTTTGTTAAAAATTTTATCAAACGCTCAGCGCGATAAACGCCGGTATTAATTTATTAACACTACAGATAATAAAGAGCATTAGGGACATAACAAATATATTTAATTTTTTTTTTTAGTAATTTACACACTCGTTATAACTGAATTAGCACCTTTTTGGCAAAAGCTATTTGTTTAACTTCACTCTACCCACCAAATAACGCTGCTGATTGTAAATTGTCGATGGACGTTTCAAAGAGTTTTCCAAAATGACACGCAAATTGTCCAGAAACGGAGTCGTCTGTAAAGTGCATACCAAATCGGGTAGTGGTGCACGCGCTAATGGACGCACTGGCGGATCATTCACCTGTGTTGGACCATATATTTCGTGCATTTCAAATGTGCGCTTGCCATTCACTTCTGTACATGGACCGGGTGTTATGTGACCCGGTCGGAGTACAATGTGATCGCCGCGCACTAGTAGCGCCCAGGGCAAATTTACAATATTACCATCGCGATATGTCCACTGCAATGACACGCAAGGTGAAACTGGACAACAAAGATGCGGATAATTGCATGGTTGCCACTCGCCACATAGATCGCGTTCAGCGAGTCTTATATCGGCGAGTGCCTGACGTGTCTTGCGGTAGATTTCGGTGCGACGTAAATTGTTCTCCCGCACCACCACGCACAAATCCAATGATAAGATAGCCGCAACACAGATCGCTGCCAGGTATGCATCGGAAATTAACAGCGCAATCATTGTAACGAGCGTAGCGGTTATTGCAGGCCATCCCAATGGTGTATCGTGTGGTTTTACGAATGCCGAACGTAGTTTTCGATAATAGCTGCAATAAACAACAACAAACAAATTTGGAAATCGTCCAAATATTTATTAATAATTAAGTATGAACACAGATAATAATTATGTTAGTACATAAATAAAACACTTGACTAGACTAAGGTATGTACGCAAGCATGTACATATATACATACATGAATAAACGCTTCGAGCACGCACGCACGCACGCACACACTACACTGCTTTCTTACACTCACCTTTCCTTGGCGTAGGTGGCTTCATGCTCACGCAACAATTTTTCGATATCATCATGCAGTCGAGCTAATGCAACACGCGTCGTTAATCCATAATTAGGTTTTTCAAGGGAAGGTCCTTCACCGGTCGAATTCTCCATTGCCGTAGCAACTGCTTTACGTTGTGAGTTCACCGACATCGTTACTACAATCTGATGTGTATAGCCTTTGCATGGATACCGCTGCGAACTGGAAATTTTCTTATTTGTTTGTTTTGCTTTGGTCGTCCTCAGCCTTTTTATCGGTCATACACTCTATTGCAATTGCATTTTTTAGCGCATTTTCGGCAATTTAAATTTGCATTACTTTTCCAAACACAAATAAACTGAAACTCGCTCCCAATTACTGGTGAGAACAAATGAAATGTCAATTGTTTTTGCAAAATGTCACTTTGACCACAATCAGCTGTTCATTAATTTCTTATCATTTGAGTAGAGTTGCCAGGAAGCACTGAGGTGAGTGATTAGTTGTGGTGAGTGTAGTTTACCAGTTTTTCCTTTTGAAGAATAAGTTTTTTATATTGTCACACGGATGTATTTCTTTCAATGGATCGATAGGAATTGAAATATTCTGCTTACTCTGGTAGTCAGCCTTTTTCGTACTTCCTTTTAACCATTTAAAAGACACACTCGTATTATCGGCGATATGTAAATATGATAGGTCTAGGACACAAGCAGCTTTGACAGGTTCGGATCTAACCCTTCCTTAGATGAGTAGGTTTTAGAAAGCATCCAACGAGGTGGTTAGTGTCGTGCGTGGTATCATTGCCATGCATCGCAGGCCTGCAACAACTTCAGTTCTTGTTTCCCGACCTCATTTAAAAAACTCAAAAAGTGAGAGATGATAGGGATCTCTAAAAGATGGTTAGGCGAGGCCAGATAAAAGCGATTGTTAGACTTCAGCTGACTTAGTCCATTAAACGGCCTCACGGGGGATCTTAAAACCCTCTGCCCGCTAGTAAAACCAATGTGTTGAGTTGGCAAAATTCAACAATCGATATATCTTTCCACCGGCTATTTCGCTAGGGATTCAACCTTCACCTCTGAATTTCTTGATTTTCACAAAAGAAGTGTCTTCTTTCTTTCTACAACTCTTACAGAAGTCGCTTGATGGTACATCCATCTTTACTGAGGGCCTGTATAATAGAAGATACTCTATTAGGATATCTCAAAATATAATTATATTCCGTTTTACATTTTTTAATCTCTCGTTGGCTACTTTATCAATCTGTTGAAGGGCGGAAACTCACAAAGGCGGTAATCTCCCATCTTCTGTGCGTGCTCTGCATTTAACCCATTACACTTTACCTAGCTTGAGAAGATGATATCTCCGTCAATATATACACCCTCGAGAATGTTAAGTTATATTCGTCTTTATGCTCGTAACAGTTTGATGCGTCTACAATCCAGTGCTTTAGGCAAGAATTTGAAAACGTCGTAAACTCTGAACCTCGCCAATGACGCCTTTCTCTCACCTCACTTTGTGACCACACATTCGAAACCTAACAGACTTTGCCTATTATAACGATTGCAAGAGTGGAGGCAAGAGTTTCAATCACTGAGTTTGAAGCTAGCGTAGAACTCCCCTCTTCTTTTCCATCAGTATAGGCACCGCGCAGAAATTATCCACTTTAAGTTTTGTCGGTTAATTTAATTTAATTTCTTATATATGTTAATTAATTTAATGAATTTTATTTTAATTGTAAAACTGATAAAACAACTAGACTTAATTTAATTTACTTCATTATTGATTTTGTTTGTTTTATTTAATTTTATTTACTTTTCAATTTATTTTAATTTAGTTTGAAGTAATTTAATTTTTATTTTCTATTCGTTTTAATATATATATATATTTTTTTTTACTTTATTTAAATGAATTTTATTTTAAAATTACCACGTTTAAATATATGAATTTATTATATTAATACATTTTATTTTTTAAGCATAATTTTTTTATTTAATTTTAATTTAGTTTATTTTAATCTAGTTAGTTTTTTATTTAACTCATTTTTTTTTATTCGATTGTATTTAATTTTTCATGTTATTTAATTTATTTTAAGTTGATTAAATTCAATATAATATTATTAAATTTAATTTTGCTAAATAATATAATTGATTTTATTTGACTCTGTTTCATGTAGTTTAAATACATTTTAGTTTTAGTTTTAACCTTTTTTTACAAAAGCTTGTTTTATTTTCTTTTTCGATTCATTATTTCTACAATATTTTTTTATGTAATTTTATGTTAATTTATTATATATTTCTAGTTTTATTTATTTTAATTTTTATTTTTTTTAATTTATTTTATGTTATTTTATTTATTTTTTTTATTTTGTATTTTATTTATTTAATTTTAATTTATTTAATCTAAATTAATTCAGTTTATTTGAATTTATTTTTTAAATATGTATATCTCTTTTTATATAATTTTATGTTAATTTCTTATATATTTCTTTTAGTTTTATTTATTTTAATTTTTATTTTTTTTATTTGTTTTATGTTATTTTATTTAATTTTTTATTTTGTATTTTGTTTATTTGATTTTAATTTATTTAATCTAAATTAATTCAGTTTATTTGAATTTATTTTTTAAATTTGTATATCTTTTTTTATATAATTTTATGTTAATTTATTATATATTTTTTTTTAGTTTTATTTATTTTAATTTTTATTTTTTTTTATTTGTTTTATGTTATTTTATTTAATTTTTTATTTTGTATTTTATTTATTTGATTTGAATTTATTTAATCTAAATAAATTCAGTTTGTTTTATTTTATATAAATTTCTTTATTTAAGTTTATTTAATGTAATATAAATTATTTTAGTTTATTTTAATTTGAATTGATTTAATTTAATGTAGCTTAATTAAACTATTTTTATTTTTTTAATTTTATTTTCTATTTTTTTTATCACTTTATTCTATTTTAATTTAAATAAGTTTATTTTATTTTATCGTTTTTTATTTAATTTTATTATATAAATTATTATTTATATTTTCTTTAATTTATTATATTATACTTGAACTTTATAATAGAATTAATTAAATTTAATATAATTAATATAATTTACTTTAATTTTATTTTACTTTATTTGATTTTATTTTATTGTATTGTATTTAGTTTACATTAATTTAATTTTTTCATTTTATTCTGTATTAATGGAATTATTCTTAAGTATTTGTAGGTTTAATAAGTTTCTCTAATCGACTTTATTGGGGTCAACTCAAGTGGTGTACTAAACATCGAAGAATCCCATTGAAGAGGCGAATAAATTACTTCCGGCATAACCGTTGTTTCCTTCCTCTCAACAATACAGAAGGACTCGCTTAGTGAGAGTATTGAGTAATTGGCACAAATACAATGATAAGGCGAATTGAAAGAAGCAAGAGAGGAATATTATATATATGTGCAGTGTTGCCAACTGGATGCAAATAACCATTTTTTAAGTTGAGCTTCATTATATTTTATTTTTATTTACTTCCAGAGTAAGGTTGCTGGACCAGTCTAAGTACTAAAACTTGTAAAGTTATATTAATTTTTTCGAAAAGATGGTATTTCTGATGATTTTTTTTTTGTTTGATTGAAAAGATATGAAAATATTTGAACGTGTAATTTAATTAAAGCAATCTTGTTGCACCTTAACCTCTCGCTTATCAGGCTTAGTAGCGCAGCTGCTGCGAATGTAACGCTGGTTCTACACCAAATCAGGACACTATCAAGTGTATAAACAAAGTGATATAAGCATAATACTGCCACTCTCTCACTCTCTCTCTCTCTCTGCTGTTAAAAATTATGTGGCGAAAGTATGCTCGCGCTTTCCTTAGACTTGCTCTCTCTCCTCTTGCGCTCTCTATTCCCAAGTGCTGCGTGCGCTTTGAGTCCTGATTCCTGTTCCGCATATATTTTATGGTATTTTCCCCACAAATTGTAGATAAAATCAACGAATGCCCGCGAATTGAGAGCGCACTCGTATACCCAGCGATAGAGGGTGTGACCGGGTTAAAAGAAAAAAAATTTCATACTTAGTTCGATGCTCAGAATGTATGGTTCATGCGTTACGTTAGCCGTTTGAAATCGACCGTCGGATAGAAAGCAAAGTGAAATTTTTGTGAAAATTATTTTCCAAAAAAAAAAAAAAAATTTTTTTAAATATTATTTATATACACAGTGTTCGAGTGCGTGAAATATGTAATTAAATTAAATTAATTAAAAAAAGTCTCAAAGAAAAGAGTAAGTGCTTGGAAAATTCTGTGTTTGCTGTGAATTCAGTATTTTTTTCCGTTCTACAGTTACAGTTATGTGTAAATATACATATATACATAGTTCATAGTTTTCTTTTGCTGGCTGACTATATGGTCGGTCGGTCGCTCGGTCGGTCGCCCTAAGTGCATTTGGGGGCGAAAATTATGTATCCATAAAAGTTTTGCGAGAATGCAAAGTAACAGAAAAGTTGAAATTAAACAAGAAATTTTCAATGAAAATGCAGTGAATTGAAAAGAAATTGTTGTGAAAAAGTTGAATCAAAAGAATATATAAATATTTTTCGCAAAATATATATTTATAATATATTATATTATAATGAAAGTTGTGCAAAATATTGAAGCTGCGGGGAAAGCATAGTAATATCACAAAAAAAAAAAAAAAAAAAGTTATGTGAAAAAATGACTAATAATAGCAGATTATTTGAAACAAATATATTTTTTTTTTCCTGAAAATATATAAAAAAAATTTTCACGCTATTTATGTACAAGCGCCTGTTTATTTATTTAGCACACGCCATCAGCTTTCGGAAGCAACAAAATCAAGTTTAAAGTTCAAACTGAAGTGTTTGCATTTGCTGCGAAAAACACTTTAATTGCATTTTTTAATTAAATCGCAACAACTTCGAGTCCACTCCCTGTCTGCCTGTGTCTGTAGCAAATTTTCTAATATTTGTGCATGCAGCCACACATGAATACATATGTACATATGCACGTATATGTATGTATGTGAGACTACATCTAATACTGCCTATATGTATGTATGTACGTATAGTTGTATGTTTGTGTGTAACGGTAAAGTCTATAGACAGTGGCTATGCCAGCGCTAACCCTAAAGCAGCATCCTTGCGAACAACACACAACACACACCCGCACCCACAAAAGCCTACTTGCAATTACTCAACCAGCAAATCTTCGTCCTTACACCCGCTCTCGAGCACAAGCAACCTCAACAAACGCACAATAATACTATCGACTTGTCGTAGCTGGCGTCTTGTAGGTAGACAGTAAGCGGGCGGACAGGCAGGCAGACAGGCAGGCAGGCGGGCAGCCTGCCATTCAACCCCTCGTGCATGCCGAACGCTTGTGTACGTTATGGCAATCTGCATTTGCCAAACACCCAACTGACGATCCGCACCCGCCAACCGCCTAGTTGCATTTTACGAGAGTTCCTTTGTATGTATGGGTGTATGTATGTATGTAAGTAAGCATATATACCTTGCCAAACGCAAGCAAGTCCTTATTGATATGCTAGTATGTAGTTAACTCTGTGTATATACATATATATATATATATATGTGTGTATGTGTGTAGGCAGGACTCGTGCCAGGCTAGGCGACCCTTTTGCAGAACACAATAGGAAGAGATACACTGAAACCGAAACAGGAACAGGAATAACAGACACTAGCAAAATTTTGATATGTTATTGTTGTTTTTGTTGTGACGAACTTCAAACAAAAAAAAAAAAATAGGATTTTTAATCAATACACTTTAGAAGAGCACTTGCTCACTGCTTGGTTGGCCGGATGGTTGGCTGTGCACGAGTCGGCTGATATGGCAACTATACAAATAACAGGATAACAAGCCATTGCCGTTGTCGTTCTCAACAACTTCATCAACGTACTGGGCAAAAGGTTGTATTGTGTGAGTGTGTGTGTGTGTGGGAGAAATACGAGCAGAGCGTTTCGCAAAAGGATATCAAATGACTGTTGGCGCTCACTAACCGGGAGGCGTATCCTTAACGCCAAAAAACGAGAGAAAGAGAGCGAATCAAAGGCGAATAAAAAAGAGAAAGAGAGAGAGAGAGAGAGAGAGAGAGTAAAACTGTCCTGTGATTATATAAAAATTATTACCACTTTTGAGCAGTAGTTAACTGCATTTCCTGCTCTCTGATGCTGCTAAAGCGCTACAACTACTCTTCGGCACGGCGAATTCGACGCTCATTGCGCAAGCAGAATGCACATTGCTTGCCACACGATTTACCATCGTATACGTAAATGTAAACAAACAAATGGGCGCGATAAAAATATTTATTTATGTAAACTTAATTACACTCTGAGAGAGAGAGAGAGAGAGAGAGAGAGAAAGAGAGAGCAAGGCAGCATTTGCTCCGTATTTTCATTGAAGTTTTTACTTCCAACGAGTATTTGCATACATATATGTATGTACATACATAAATACATACATGTATGTGTAGCTCTTAACAATTTTTGTCTATTCTCTGAGGAAGGTTGTATGTTTTGTGTATGTATTATTTGACTTCAAGTACTATAATGAAATTATCCCTTCGAACACAAACACACTCACATGTACATATGTGGCGGAAGTATTTTTGAAAAGGATTCATCCGCATGAGTCTAAACACATACGATTCCACAGACAGGCGTTAGACAATGTTTAGGGATCCGCGTTGAGTATCTATTGTACATATAGAAGAACGCTTTAAGAGAGTGTAAAAGTGGTTTAATTTGTTTCAATGTGACTGAATATTGATTACTGCTTCACTCGATATTTCTTAACAGATCAACAGTTTTTTTAACTTTAAGTCGGAGCTGAGATATACCAAAATTTTGAATAAAACTAAATACACTGAACTCTCATAAAAATGAAGACATGGTAAAATTAGAAAGTAAATATCTCATATTATTCATCTCCACCAAATGAAGAGGTCTTCAGTTTATTCTAAGCTTCCTCCGAAAGGCTGATTGAAATTTATGACGAGCTTTTATTTCATGTCATAAATACACTCGGAGGTGTTGGCATTTCGTGCCGAGGGCCGACCTCAATTAAAGACATTACTTTTGGGTCTTGGTCGAGCCAAGACTTGATTACTCGCCTTGGGAATGCTGGCACACAGCGCTAGCTACTCGGCTTTTGGTTTTTCTTAATTCTTCGAAAACTTCTGTCAAACAAATGGTTGTGTTCCCACCACGATTGGGAGATTAAGGCAGTAGTCTGCTGTAGAATTTTCAAAAAATGGATTTTTTTCTTAAATCTATTCTAAAACTAACCAAGAATAAGTCTTCAAAAAATTTCAGTGCCCAATTCGACAGATTTTAAAAGCAAGAGAAGTTTTAGCGGCAGAGCGTCGTGGAGGTCAGTGTGTTCGGGCAGAACTTTGAAGCGCGTTTTCTCGAGTTAAATTTTTATAAGTCTTAGAAAACGCTGATAGCAAATGATCTAACTAAAAAAGTAGAAAAAAAGTTTAAATAAAATATTTTTTTTTTTTGCAACTTGAAGTATTTTTTTTTCCTTCAGAAAGTGAACTTTTTTTCAAACTTCGAAAAAAATTCGAAATTATCCCACTTCTTCGACATTTTCTTACTACAAATAGAAGAGACACTCAAAAAAATTAAAAAAAAAATTGTTTCGAATGTTGCGGATGCATTGCACGACCTCCATCACCGGCATCGTTTCATCTGTTCAGGCTGCAGCAGATAAATAAAACTCAACGTATCGTTTGAAAATTCCAATACCTTTTGATAATAAAAATGGTTTTTTGAAGCTTAAATATAATACATTATTTTCGGAAAATTTCATTTACCGCAATAATTTTCTTCCATTTCAAAAAAAATTGATGTAAAAACGCTTTTTTCGTTCTAAGGGTGACAACTGCCTGAAGACTTCTTTCATTAAATAAAATACAATATGAGCGCTTTGTGCGGCGGAACTCTGATTTTCATCATTAAATAAACTCGGAGGACCAACTACAAATTTCGTTTATCGTAGAGAATATCTATAAGAAAAAGTAATGTCATGTGTGAATCCCCTGCGGTCACACAAGAATTGGATTTTATTCTTAGAATTGCTTGGACCGTTGCCGTCTTGTTACTTTCTGTGCAGAATTCTTTCGAATGTTTTGCTGATTCTCGTTTAGCTCTTGATCTTATAATTGCATCACAAGCAACTCAATTACCTTGACTTGGGTTCAGAAACCATTTACAATACTTTGCTTCAAAAACTGGGTATTCCGGCTTATGTAGAGTTTCTTGTTGGTTTTATCATCAGTACTCCAAAATTTCATTACAATTTTTATATATCTTTGAGATGTACTCGTATATACAAACATATTGGTCTAGTAGAAGCGATTGAACTACCCCACATGACACTATAAAGATGATATTTTGTATGTACTAAAAGTAAACGGGAGATGTGTTGATCACTTGACTCAGTAATGCTTAAGCGCGTGTCGAAGATGGACACCAACAAAGGGAAAATACGCTACAGTTTACAATTTTTCTTCGATAAAGGCAGCTGAAAATGTGAAAAGTACACTTGGTCCTGATACCATAACAGCCAATAAAACGTAAATATAATAATTGCTCCACGGTTGATAGGGTCAATTGTCGAAAATGTCTATAATGGAAATCCTCGAGTCTGACGATCATGTGAACACTGTTTGATTTGCTCATGAGCGAAACATTGTACAAAAACCTTCACTTTAGAAATACTGAACACACAAAGAAGCTGGATGTATGGGTGCCACATTAGTGGAGCTAATTTCCAACTGCGAATCATTGCTGAATCGTCACCAAATCGACCCATTTCTGGAGCGAAGGTGACTAGTGCTGAAAAGTGTATCACTCACAGCAACGTCAAACTGAAACGGTCGTGGCCGAAGCTAGAATTGACGACCAGTAAGGTTTTGTTATGTGTTTGATGGGACTGGCAAGGAATCATTCACTGTGAGCTGCTCCTCTGCGGGTAAACTCTTAATTGTGTTTCATCAGGACAAAGCCAGGCCGCACACATATCGTTATAGACTCGCTGGATGCTGCAAGAGCTTGGTTGATAGGTTTTTAAGCATCCATCTTGTAGTGCGGACCTTGCAACATCTGTTGACCATTCTATGACACAGGCATAACTACATTACCTTCGAGCAAAACGAGCCGTCCTTATATTGCGTTCGTTAAAACACGAGCAATCATCGGCTAATAACAGGCTCGTAGCCAGTCATGAGAACAAAGAGAAGTATCCCTATTGGATTACCCCAATGTACCATTTGATCAAGAAATGTTTGCAGGAATTGTGTAGTTTTATAAAGAGGCCTTCGACAAACAAAGATTGCTGAGCGGCATGGACCAGTTTTTGCGATTTGTACAAAGGCAAACAAAAAAGACGAGCCTTGCTGAAGTCTTCATACCTTTCAAGGCAATATCAATTTTTATTTCATTTTAGGATTAAATATTAATGCTCATATGTGAAAAATTGGTTGGAGAGGGTATATACATATATAACTCTCCGATTGAGATGACTTTCGGTGTCAATGTTTATTTCTATATACGTGAATAGAATGGAAGATTTCTCATAGCCTCATAGTAGGCAATTGCAAGCTTAAGTCCTCTTTCGACGAAAAATACGCGTCCGGCTACATAATCCTTCCCGCATTGACAATGGTGAGTTGATCAGTTGATATTTTCAATTGGCGTCAAACAGCAAAAGGCAGGCAGGAATGGCGCACTGTTGTTAAATCGGCCAATGCTCTCAATCAAATCTTTTACTTTCCGAATTACTGCAATATTTTCGAGGCTGAGGTTTTCGCGTAAGGAAAGCCACTGAGCTAGTTCACACTCCAAGAAACAACAAAATGGCCATTGATTGTCCGAAGGCAATTAAAGCACTTTAAATGTCTTTAGAAGCAGTGGGATATTGGATATGGTGGCTGTACAAAAGAAATACTGAATTCCATGTCATGGAACGTTATACTCGTACATAGTTAACGGGGCTGCCGAAAGAGCCATCCGCCTATCGAATCTGTAACTGAAATACAAAAGACGCTAAGGGCTCTGTGGAAATGAAATTTCCTAGGGAGGGAAAGTTAAAAGACAGTAGTGGAAAGTCTTTACAGCCTTCGAACATGTGAAATGAGCGAAAGAAAAGACAAGCAAGTTTTGCTTACGTGGTCTCAGAAGGACGGCAGTACAGTTGTATAATGAGTGGTCAAAAAAAAGGCTTGATGTGTTGGGAGACCGGAATGAGTGTTGGACATTAGAACACCTACTCTGTAGCTATCCGGCCTTGCCTAGTAGATGTTTCAAAGGTTCAAACTGCTAGCTCTAGGTTTTCTTACACTTTTCAAAAAGTTCTATGCGTCAACTGCTTTACCTCCTCGTGGATCTACATACATCTGGCGCTGTAAAAGATTAAGAGAGGGCATAGCAGCTAATTTGTGTAACCTGAGCAAAAGATTACCGGCTTTTAACTAACTGGCAAAAAATACCTTTCAATGTCCTTTGCAGCGGTAATATGGAAATTGGCTTCTAATGATAGAAGAAAATAAGAAAACATGTTCATAACGCCCGATATTCATAAGCTCTCAGTTACCCCCAACGTCCCATTCTCGTTAGGAATGACGAATAGAAAGAGAGAATGTGTGTATGACCCCAACAAAGTAGGTAAATAAACTCGAGCGCTTCTCCAGCGAAGGGCATATTTATTTAACTTGCAGATTAAGTTTTAGTTGCCTTTGCCTTATTTGCGCAGCCTTTTGCTTTTCCTATATTTAGTATGTACGAGTATGTTTATATCCCTTCACATTCATTTCCATGCCACTTCTGCTGTGTTGAATCTCAGTTAGATACCACAAAGTGGGCTGTTTAAAGAGCCAGAGCCAGAGCCAAAGTGGGTATTAAAGTGCAAAAAAAACATTAAAGAAAGGAAGGGGAAGAGTGCGGGAAAAATTGAATTGGAAGGCGTCCAACTTGTCATATGCACTTTTAATATGATGAACCGTGATATTATTGTACACCACGCAGTTGACTGCGCTCCACTAACATCGTTGTAAACGCTTCCATCCTTCCATCACGCCTCCTTCATTCATATATTCATTCATAATGGCGGATTTTCTTCGCTTAAAAGACTGTGTGTATGCTCTTATGTATGTAGATGTGTAACAGCGTAAACGAATAATCGAAGTTAATGAGTGTCTTGTGAGTGTCATTAAAATGCAACAAAAGTGATAGTAAAGAAGCCGTCATGCACGCAAGACAGCCGAGGAGGAGATCTGCGTGGAAATGCATAAAAAATTCAAATAAGAAAACGTTAATGGCAGTTAAGCTGGCAGTTGGTGTTGGTAGGCACCCATAAAACATATAATGAGGTTTTATAACCTTGATGTTTTTCCAACAAAATAGGCAACCCTACGGGGTTCTTTAAGCCGTCTCGGAAGGACTGTCAGATTTGTAGAAGAACTATTTTTTATATCTTGTCAGAAATACAACCGGAGAGCTTGACATTCTCCGCCAAGGAGCGACTGGAATTCGGCATTTTCTTCAATAATTTTGTTGGTTGCCCTGAACAAGAATAGAACCCAAGACACTCCTCATGAGCACCATACCAGCGCTCGCATTAACAGACTTTTCCAATAAACCATCTATAAAGTTGCGTTCAAGAGGTTGGATTTCGAAAGGCTTCTCGCATTGATTAAATCGTCAGGCTTAGGAACCTCCAAGGATTTTGATCGCACCAACGGTCGGATGGGTTTTGTTACTTCGTACGTGTGCGCGGCTTAATCTCTTAATATTTAATATCGTACGGAAAAGTGGTAAGCGTTGAGAGGCCAGGTTTCGAGTACCTTTTTGACCAACATCGAAATAAAGAATAAATTTCACCAATTGCGGTCGCACCTTGGTGGGGAGTTTCAAGCTATCCAAGTGTATTTCGGACTTGAAAAATAAAGCCTTTGTTGCCTTCCGTGTGCACTGAAAGCTTTTCAGAATGACTATAGATAATCTTTTGTAGGTTTTGGTTAGCCAAAGATTGCGCCTTGACGCTCTTATACTTGGCAAAAGAAGTTTTCCTAAGACAAGACTTTTTTTCCTGTCTACTAGGTATACTGTTATCCTCGGAACAACTAAATTATGTGGTCGCAACAGCTTTTACTACTAATCAACAAGAAAGGAATTTTTGTTCTGGCTGTTGAGGAATGTGGGTAGTCACCCGTAGCAACTTGTATCGAAAAGCCTCACAGAATAAATTATTTTTCGGGCTCTTTGCAACCATACCACCGCCCAAGTCTGTAGTGAGGCACGTGCAGGCGACATTAATAAGAAGACATGACTGACTGAATGGCTGTCAAGCGCCGGCGACGACATTTCAAGTACCACTCGAGATCACGATCTGTATAGCATGTGGTTGTTGTTGTTGTTGTTGTTGTTGTGGTTGTATGCACATCTTTTACGAGCATTAGACTTTACATTGCTTTTGCTTGTTTTTTGTTTTTGTTTTCATATTTTGTCACACACTTGACACACATCCGGTGCTTTAACAAACGTGCACATAAATTTTGCTGGTGTGCGCTGGGGAGGGCAGGGCAGCTGGCATTATAATTTACATACAATATATGCATATGTGACGTTGTGCTCTAATTCGCCAAAACAAAAGGAGCTCTCTTTTTTAAAATCAGTCTTTTTTCCTCTTTTCTTTCTTTTCTTTATTTCTTTCACCTTCTTACCACCACCACCACCACAAAAAAACACACGTCTCTACAGTGTAAAGTGTCTCGGTGTGTGGCTACATTTCCTTTTGCGAAAGAGGTTCAGCCATTAAGTAGCAACAACAATACGGCGCGGCATCAGCACACCGCACAATCGCAACTTCAGGATCTCAGCACACAGCAAACGGCACACAGGACACCGTCAGCTCCTTAAGCTGATAACATCGGCGGCGTCAACATTGTCACTTCTCGCTGTGGGTGAAGCGCGAAAACTCCACGCACGGGCTGCCACACGTACACACCCGAGTCGTTATCTGCTGCTTATGCGCAGCTGGGATGCGCTAGCCATTGTAGTTGTTGCTGTTTTTGTGTGTGTGTGTGTTTAAGCTTATAAACGGTTTTGAAGCAATTACAAAGGAAGAAGAAGAAGAAGAAAAAGCAAAAGCAGAAGAATAAGAAGTACTAGAAAAGGACGTGGAAGCGAAAAGTGACAAAGGTGTGAGAAGAAAACGTAACGAGAAAGCGTTGCGAAAGTGACTTTAAATTAATTGGTGCTTTTGTGTGAAAATGGGTGATTATCATCATGAGTACATGGACCAGTATAGGGTGCCGGTCATTGCAAAGCTTTTGCATGCCTTGCCCCACTACAACATCACGTTTCACAAAATCAACAGCACGTTTCGTCCGAACGATGAAATCTATTTGGAGGTGAGTAGATAACGGTATTTATGTGACTATTTATGCATGAAGTATTTTATGTTGGCTTTACACTTGGTTATATCCATATGGGGTGCGAGAGGGGATTGAATTTATGTGGAAAACTTCTCACTTTATGTCTCCACTTCCACAGGGGGTTCAGGACGATACATTTTTGCAATGTTTTCACGCTTCTTAGATTACCCTAATCGGCAATTACATCAGTTCAGCAAGTAAAACCCCCGAACGTGGGATAGATGTGTTCCGAAAGTGGTTTTTGTTCGACAACCATGCGCCGAAGCTGACATTCCATGCCGAGGGGCGACCGCAAAAAGAAAAATTATTGTGGATGTTGGCTGAACTAGGACTTGAACCCTGTGTTTCCGAATGTTAGAACAATGGATTTATTAATTAATAAGGCCATGTACTTATCGAGTTCCTCCGATTGATTGGTCTATAATTATTTAATCAGATCGCAGCACTATTGACCTCATCCGTTTGCAGCTCTCGGATGTCGAAATGCACCCGAGCAAGAATATGTGGGGTTACCAAATTCAGGCACATTGGCATCAAGGCAGATCCTTTTCGTTGTATGAAAAGCATATTTGGTCAACAGATAACAGATTGTTGTGGTTGTTGCTGTTGTAGTAGCGGCTACGTTAACCCGAGTTAGGGACAGGATAAATCTATCTAAGTCACCGAGCTCTTCTAATGGGAGGTCCAGGAAACGTGCTCTTTCAATGGCATCGGTCCAGATGGAGGGGGAGCATACGTTGGGTATGTTGGGGTCGGGTCTGGATAGGTAGGAGCTTAACCTGCTACAGTATCCAGACCTAAGTTGTGCTCGAGCTCGTTGTCTGCAATAGATGGAACTTTTTCTCCGACTGTTGACTGATTCCTGGTGAATGGTAACCGGGTTAGGGATTAACAGGTTGACTTAATAGGTCTAAAGATACACTGTAGAGTCCTCTTCTTTGTGAATTGGGCAGAACGTATGTAGGTTCCAATCGTGGAGCATGCTTTCGCCCGATCAGAGAAGCTGATCATTTACCTTGCCAGTCCTTAACCACCCAGCCGGAAAGCTATCGGCTATCGAAGTTTTGTTGTTTGACCGTCTGTTTCATTGTAATCGCTTGGAGAATCGAATTTTTTTCATTTTCACTGGCACTTAAGAAGCTGGAGAAGTGTCCCTCCTGTCCACTCTGAATTTCAGTGACTAGATAGCCTTTTCGGCGCTACTGTAAGCCACCGCCTTTCGAGTATATCATTTTCAAACTCTTTAAACTCTCGTATTTCGGTCTATCTTTTTGACTGCAAATGCATCTCGTTTGCCCCTCCTTCGCGATGTTTCTTTACCCTCCACTACGTGGACGGCCGCGCTTAAGCCATTGAGTAGGCTCATGTAGTGCTTGTTAAATCGATCTTTGGCCCCACATCTTGAACAATCAAGAAACTGGATGATATTTGAAACCAATCGTCCACATATCACAAAATTATCGCTCTGATTGCATGCTTTTCGATTCGACATCAATATAGATAGCCAGGGCGCTTGGTTCATTTTCTTGTACTCGAATTTAGTGCTACAAACAACTAAATTTCAGGCCCCAGCGAAGTTGATATGCCTTAGCCTGTATGGGGATATTTGTCTACCCTGATGTAAAAGTCAGAGCAGCATTCATAAGTCTGCATCAGGCGCTCACAAAATGCATCATTCTTCCGTCGGAGCGTGGGCACCAATGAGCGATATGTTGCATAACCTCGCTTTGATGGAGCTTGTGGCGAGACGTTCTACCATACCTGGCAACGGAGTTTTTCTCCTAACACGATGTGATGCCAGTCTGTAGTCTTATGAAGACTCCAACTAACTGGGCAGCGGCACTCTTCCAGTTATGGCATCGGAGATTTCAAGTAAAAGCCCTTAAATCACTTCCAGTGGTTGTCCATATAATATCTTCTTTTGGGGCTGGTTTTTTTTTAGAGAGTAGGTCCAATTTCCCACCCATCGCGGTTCCCTTTCTTACTCAATTCCAAACGCATGGTTATTAGCGAAATATTTCGTTTAAGACCGAAAGTCGTGTAAATGAATTGTTTCTGGTTACTCCCAGGTTAGTTGGACAGTCAAACACTTCCCCCAGCCTGGGCGAATTTCTACAAATACTCCCAATCTTTATCCGCGAAAGGATTATAGTTAATCTTTAAGTCGATTTAAGTCGGAGTTGGTTCATTTGTTTTAGCCGTGACCCAAAGCTACCCAAGCGTATGTTGTCTCACCTCGGCAAAGCGTAGCTCACGTTCCAAGACTAGGCAACCAGACGCAAGAGTACAAATTCAAGTAGATATTTGTGAGATGGATCCCGGTTTGGGAGATAGGTTGGTAGGTAGGATTGTCGATATGCGAGTATCAAAACATTTAGGCCAAAAAAGGCTTATGGCTCCTTTTCCATTCATTTGAACTTCCTAATGAACTTTCTTGGGACGCTCACTTTGGTTTCCGCTACATGGCAAAGTCTTTCCATAAAAACGACACCAAAATTCCGATGTCTACATCTGCTTAGAGCAGGCCATATACATATCGCCACTTCTACAGCCCTGGTAGCTCTTATAGCACTTTCTAAAAGAAACTCATAGCCTTGCTGTCCTATATGGTAATGTCCCCAAAGGACTCCAACTAAATTTGAAATGCTCTCACACACTTGTTAAAGTAAAAAGTCCTGCATCGTTTTTGGATATAAGCACCGTTTTTTCGATAACTTTTTGCCATCTTGAGGGTAATGTCATTATGATCCTTCCATTCCCTATTGCCAAAAAATTGGGACAATGGATTTTTACATGCTTTTCTTGAGGCCAACCCTTCACCAGCCAAATCCTTCGCCATAGACATGGACAGATGGAATCATTTGGTGCGAGGTCCGGACTATAAGGTGGCTTAATAAGCTGACGATTAAACTATTGTGGTTTCTGGCGATACACTATCGATGTTTGTCTAGCGTAGTTCTCTCCGGTTGGCCAATTCGGGCACTTTAGGGAGAATGCTTTCTTTAGGTTGAGAGTCTGGCCTTGGGGGAATATCTCGTAATGAATTATTCAATTACAATCCCAATCAAACGCCCAACAAAACCCGTTAATACAGAACAACCTCTCCCTAACGGCAATCCCACTCATAGATTGCGTGATACAGATCACTAAAGCCATTGCAAACATAATGGATTTCTTTTTACTTGACCAATATATATATACAAATATATCAAAACAAAAATATTAACATCCCATATTGTCATTTTCAGAGCTTGGGCATTTTGGGCTCTGTGCCGGCGGCACTGCTCATCGTATCCCTACTTGGATTGCTGCTCTACTTAATGACACGATGTTGTGATAGAAAGCCACGACCGGCACATTCCATTACGAGCTTAAAAGTTGCACTCTCCATTGTAACGGTGATGTGTTGTGCGGCGATAGGACTCGGTAAGTGCTTTTTAGTGATAATTTTTTTTATTTTTCAACTATAAACTTAATTAAAAAATGTGGTAAATGGCAAAGAGTGTGAAAGTCGATGACAAAAAAACCAAAAAAAAAAAACTAAAAAAAAACTAAAAACAAAAAAGTGTTGAGTTGTTTGTTGTAAAAAAGTTTTTATTCAACATAAATTCATTAAATTTCCATAAAATTACAAATAAAGCAATTTATGTTTACTTTGTTAGTTAAACTTTCACGCATACAAACACACACATACACACATATACATATATACATACTCCTACATACGTAGGTATGCTTTGAGTGTTTTTTTGTTGGCGTTTTCATAATAGTTTTTAGCATGAATTAGCATTTCAATTATGTTGAGCTTGGGTGTGTCCATTCTTTGATGGTTCGCCGTGACACTCCTTGTTACGTACACACACACGTACATACTACCAACTCAAGCACATGCATATTTGTGGAAATTGAGGTATGGCAACCCTTGTTATTGTACGTGCATAATCACATAATCACGTTAAAGTTAAACTATTGACAGCGAATGAGCAAATATTGTTGAATTGAAATGTGTACATTTTTGAAAAAAAAATAAAATAAAATAAAATAAAAATTCAACCCTTGAAAAGTTGAACTGAACATGTGAAACGGTCGTTTGCAATGTAATCAAACACCTTTTCAAGTAGCAAATAAATAAAAAAGGTACAGTTATTTGTTTCACAATAATATGATGCGAGGTGTAGCCTGTCCTAATCGCTGATTAATATGTATTGTACATACTTATGCGAATACACGAGTATGCTCGTGCCACACGCTATTTGGCAGTCCATCATTGAGGAGCTTAGAATAATCGAAATTGGTAATATATATCGATAACAACTTAGTTACTCGCTAGTCGTTTATCGAGAGAAAATGTCGAAAGCGATTTTCGGCCGAGCTCCTCCTACGATTTAAGTTATGCGTCTAGATATTTTTCCAACACATAGAGGAACCTACCACCGAACGGCCGATGAATCTTTAAGGAGGAGCTCTCATTTCGTGTCAGAAATACACTCTCAGAGGCTAGACATTCCCTGCAGAGGGGCGATCGCATTTAGAAAAATCTTTTATTTTTCATTTTTGGATATTGGCCGAACTAGAACTCGAACTTTGGCCGTCATAATGGCAGTACCCAATGCTAGCCACTCGGCTATTGCGACCGCCAAGGTTTAATTACATGTATAGTAAAAAGTAATCCATTATTTTTGCAATAGATAACTTAAGTGGTCTATATCTCGCGTTCTATTAGTGAGATTGGCTTACGCTAGATGCCGTTAGAAAGATCATAAATTTTGCTAAAAGCGGTTATGGACACTAGCAAAGAGAAAAAACGCTTTAATCTACAATTTTTCTTCGATGAAGGAGTCCAACGGTGTGTGACTGCCACGCGAGAATTGTTTTGAATGGCTACGATCTAAAAACTGCTAAAAAACAGTTTGGGACCTCTTGAAGAAGGCAACCACTTGAAGACAAAGAAGCTCGATATATGGGTGACACATGCATTAACGGTGGAAAACTGCTGGAGCTAACTAAATCGAACCATTTCTAAAACGGCAGGTGACTAGTGAAGAGACGTGGTTCACTTTTTGCAACATCGAATGAAAACGGTCTTGGTCGAATGGTAGTGAGCCGGCAGAAATGGGTTTCAAACGAGGTTGAAGAGCTGCTTCCCTACGGCCCAGTACTATCAGCAATAAGACCGTCTTAAGGAAACAATTACCGAGAAGCGTCTAGCTTTGGCCAACAGAAAGAGAATTGCGTTTCATTCGGACAACGTCCCACCACATAAATCGATAGTGGCCCTCGAGTAGACAAGAGCTTGGTTGGGATATTCATATGCATCCACTTTATAGTTCAGACCTCCCACCAAGTGATAACCTTCTGATTCTGTCTATGACGAATGATTTTGCTGGTGAGAAATTGACCTCAAGGGAAGCCTATGAAAATCGATTTACCTTTTCTTTTGCCTATATGGCAGACTCATTATGACATTACCTTCAAAATGGTAAAATGTTATCGAGCATAACGGTACATATGACATGGTACATAAAGCCTTCAATGTACTGCAAAAATAATGGATTACTACACACATAATTGGCACTTTATAAATGCCGAAGCCATTTTCGGCCGACGTGCTACTCGAATGTATGGTTTGCCTCTTAATGATTTTCCCATAAATATAAGGATTTATAATTTATTCAAAACTGGCTCCGAACAGCTGATAAAATTGTAGGAACTTTTTATCCACAAGCACACTAGAAGGGGTTGCCATTCACTGCCGGAAGAGATTTGGATGTTCGTCTAGCCATGGCTCAGGCGCATGCACCTGTTGTACGCACTGCCGATTTGTATGCCTTCTCAAATTTGGTGAAATTCCCCATCCTGCCTCGATTGCCCTGACGCAGCAGTCAATTCATTTTATACACATATCGGTGCAAGTGATGTCTTCACCAACTGATCTTTCCAACGGAGCGGAGGTCTCCTCTTTCTCGTATATTGTAGCGCATATTTTCACAGTTGGAATGTTTCAGCGAATTCGGGCGACATGACCAAGCCATCGAATTTGCTGAGCTACGCCAATGCAATCGGAAATCTCGCATCTTGGTGTCATGATCTGCGTATTCGACCTAAAACTTTAGAAAAACTTTTTTCACAAAAACTCCTAAAGCCGACTTATTGGATGTTGTCACCGTACAAACAGCTGGACCATATATCAGGATCACTTGCGGTACTTGATATTTGGTCGTCGAGAGAGGATTTTACTTTTTAAATCTGTGTTCAGTCCAAGAACCGCTTAGAACCTGTCAACAGGCGCTACAAGGCAGACATTGTTATTGCTGTTAATGATATTTCCAAATTAGATGAAGTTCTCTTTGACTTCAAAGTTATGACTGTTAAGAGTGATGTGAGTGGCAAGACCCGAATCTTATTGCTTCATAATATGGGGTGTTTTCTATTTTTCTCGCTTAGTACTAGATCAATAGGCTTCCTTTTCATATCTAAAGCTGAGGAAGTAGAACTCTCGCTCTCCAGAGAGCGTCACTTTGTCTGAAATCTGGTTTAGTAATGAATATCTAGGGCAGGTCTTTTTCAGTTCTAACAGAGTTGAGGGTGCTCAACGCAACCCTCTGTCACACTATCGAAGACTGTTTTAAAACCGACGCAGTAGTGGTGTATTACCAACCTTCTCTCACGAGTCTTTTCCAAGATTCGGACTGAGAATCGATTGGATTTAATGTGATGTGTTGCAGCCTTTTCCATGGTTGGACTTTATAAACGATATTCAGAAGACTTATTCCAAAATAACTAGCGAATGTGCTATGTCTCTGTTGCCTTCTAATGGATTAAGGAAGGCACACACTGCTTACAATTGTAAATCGTGCTTTCCATCGACTACGTTCTGTAGAGAAGTCGAAGTTTGAACTTCGTTAGATCTACGCAGTCAAACTTGAAGAGCTCAGCCGGGGCTCAAGTGGGTTATTGCTTGGTCGGAGGTTATTTTAGGACTCCAGGTGTTGCCCCATTGGGAGCGGTATCTCTTTTCGGAAGAAAGAGAAACAAATATTAGTTTTGACTCTCATGAACGGATTCTATAGAACTTTATCGTACTACTAGAGGCGGGCAAGTCTCGGAGCAGAAAACTTATACTGTAAAATTAAATTCTTTTATCTTTACCCCGTTTGAGGATGATCAGTAATTTATTCTTTCTTTTCATGTAAATCATTATGCCAAATTCTTTCATATTTATTTACTTATTCTTTAAGGTTTATATGGCAACGATGACCTTCACAATGGCTTGTTGGAAGTGCTGACAGCTGGACGAAAGGTCGACAATTTGGTAACCACCATACGCAATCAAACGCACATACTAGAGAATACACTGAAGAACCGTATACGGCCTCAACTGGTTGAGTTGGCTGATATATTTGACCAACCTGTCGCCAATCAGACTGCGCTTTCCATACTCTTCGTTTCGCTGAATATTGTGCAGGGCAATGTGACGTTGGCCACAAACGCAGCTGGTGATATACGCCGGCCCTTGTTGGGCATTTCAATGACACACTTTTTATCGGTATGTTTTGTGATGAAATAACAGTATTCATGGTTGAGTTACACAGTAAAATATATATTTTATGACATAAAACTTCTTGCAGCGCGGAGATCAGTGGGAACTTATACGCTGGCCCGGCACTGTAGCTACTCTTGCACTGCTATTGGTTCTTTGCGCTGTGCTGCTGGTAGGCGTGGCACGTCATTCCCGTTGTGCGCTTATACTATTCAGCGTCTGCGGCTTACTTGCGGTCACCGGTTCTTGGCTGATGTCTGGCCTATATTTGTCTTCGTCGGTAGCTGTTGGTGATCTTTGCATTAATCCAGCCGACTTTTTGGTTTCCACCTCGCCACGCGATCTTCCAACGAATGTACTTCTACACTATACTCAATGTGAGCCCGGTCATACGAATCCTTTTACGCAACGTTTGCGCGAATCACAAAACTCGCTGAATAATGCACGCAGTGCTATGGCAACGGTAATGAAAATTTCATTGGTACTCTTCAAGTCGTCTGGACTGCAACCGAAATTGGGCGCTGTAAATGCAGATTTGAATAGCAGCGAGCGTTTGCTTACACAGCTCACAGCTTTGGTAGATTGTAAGGCAGTTCATCATAATTTCTTAGCTGCGGCTAGAGGTCTCTGCGAAGGTGGACTGCTGGGGTTGGTATTGATGTTGATTGCAAGCTTTATTGCTGCCATCTTGCTGACGATTATGGTTTGGGTCGATTCACATACATGGATATATATACGTAAGCGTAACGATTATGCACAGGTCGATGAGCCGTCGTATATTTCGCATCCAGCGCCACAGAATCATCAGCAAATGATGAATGCGGCTCGCACTTTACCGCGAAACCACAACGGGTGAGCATGTCCCTCAAGTAAGATTTGTTTAAATTTGTTTGTTCGAACCTCTTTTCCAGGCACTTCAGTCCGCCGGTGATCAGTGGGTCGCACACCTTGCAGCACCCATCCAAGCGGCAGCAACACGAGATGATGGCGCACGCGCACATGCAGCAGAACATGAGGGCTATGGGCACGCATACGCTTGGTCGTTTGCCGTCGCACAATCATAGCCCTACCCACATGACTGGTAAGTGTGTTTAGCCTCCATGTGAACGGCAAACTATCATTCGACCTCCATTACGCATATGAACTCTTCAAAGTAGTACATATATTCCGTTTACGATTCTCTAACTTATCACATGGCATTCTTTTGCATCTATCCTCACTCACCCGTCACCCCATATCCACCGCTCACTCCTCATTAACGTTTTTCTACGGCCATATTGCAGGTCCCAATAACGGTAAATATGCTACATTAAGCAAACAATGCAAAACTTTGGAAGCCAATGATTTTTACTGAAAATCACCAGTAGCCTGTAGCGATCCCGCACGAAGTCAACCGGCAACACTCCAGCAGCAGCAGCAGCAGCAGCATGCAGCGCAGCAACAACTCGCCCAACAGCAAGCTCAACAATTGGCCGGTCAACCGATCTATTGTCACCATCCACATCCACATTCGCATGCCGCTGTCGCCGCCGCTGTGCAACATCAACATGCCATCTACCATCAGCAACAACAAGCGGCTCAACAATACGGAACTTACGCCACAGCTGCCCATCCAGCACATCACATGACGGCGGCTCAACAAGGCCAAATATATCAGCAGATACCTGCACATGTTGCCGCTTTGCAACCAAATGGTAATCCACACTCTATCTACCAGCCACTGGTGGCGGTCAGCCAAGGCTCGATTTATGTCTCGAATATGGCTACGATGCGTCGACAGAATTCGCAATGACAAGGCCATCCACAAATACCGGCTCATCATGTACCACCACATCAGCAACAGCAACACCAACAGCAGCCACCACCACCAAATCAACAACAGCAACAATCACACAATCAAATGAAATCGCCACAGGATGGTTTACATCATCGTGACATACCTGCTACATCGGGCATGGAAACGGCAATTTACGACCGCGATAAACAGATATACAAATGCTCGACATTGCGTCAGGGCGGTAAATTTGATCCCAAGTATAAGCCTTCGATATTGAATTGCCCATTGCCGGAGATACCAAAAGATGCCGAACCAGCCAGGGTTGAGTCAATTTATCAGCAGCAACAACATTATTCTAAGTAAGTATTTTATATTGATTGGTCTAGTACAAAGTGCTCCATTATTTTTGTATTAAATTTAAGGCTTTACTTTCCATAGTTAGAAGATAGATAGGGACTATCGACAAAAAATTGGTACAAACGATTTTTACAGTCTTCCCTAGCAGCCAATTGTTCACCAGCCAAGCTCTAGGAGCATCTGGCGAGTCACTATCGATGTGTGTGGTCTGGCCTTGTCCTGATGAAACACAATTCCCATCCTTCTGGCCAAAACTGGACACCTCTGGGCGACTACTTCTTCAGGCGATCCCATTTTCTAAGTCCGAATTAGAAGTTTAACCGTAGGCCAGTAGCTCATAGTGGGTGATTCCTTGCCAATCCTACCGAACACACAACAAAACCTTTTTGGCTATCAATCCTGGCTATTTTAAATACACAAAGAAGCTGGGTGTATGGGGGTCACATTTGTTAACTAGTAAAAACTCATGGACCTAATTTTCACCTGCGATTCGCTGTTTAATCGTAACTAAATTTACCTATTTCTGAGGAAATGGTAATAGATGGTGAAGAGTTCTTTCAGCAACGTCAAGCTAAAATGCTTGGAGTCGAACCAAGTGGCACCCATACATCGAGGTTCTCTGTATATCCATCTTTTTTAAATATTTTGTGCAATCTTAAGCTCATACTAGGCAATCGAAATAGTGCTCGCATGACGGTCAAACTCGTCGATTTTCATTCTTCACCGTGAATGACTTTTTACATAAAAATGTTCGGAATGAAATGGGTGAACCTTTTGATGATGATTGACTATTCCAGTAGTAGGACCATAAATATTATTCACATTTTAAGCTGCTATTCTTACTATTTCTCCTTTATCGAAGAAAAATTTTAAAATATAGCGTAACTAAATCGCACTTATAGAACGCGAGATACTGATCACTAAAGCTGTCTATTGAAAAAATAATGGGTTACTGCAGACCTTATTGCTGTTTTTTTATTCCACTTCTGATTATATTCGATTCCACTTGTGAACTAATTTTATACCACTAAATCTGAGCTTTCCGCGGTAATCGAGTGGTTAACATTGCGTACTGACATTCGGGGGGCTCGGGTATATGAACCCACGGTGCCACCAACATCCGAAAATTTCCCTCGTCAGAGAACTTCCACCAATCCAAATGTATTTTGGAAATGAAATAAAGGCTCCTCGTAAAAAAACCATCATCCATTCGGCGGCAGCTTAATTAATTAAACTGTAGGGGCCTCCATTTGCTGGACAAACATCAAGACGCAAAACCACAAATTGGAGGAGGGGCTCGGCCGAAAAATCGCTTCAGCGGTTACAAACCGTCAATTATATATACATATATAAATCTGAGCTTTCTCCTATGTTGTTAAAACTAAGACCAAGATTTCTGTATGACACCTCCTTAGTTTTTGGCCATCGGCTCATGGAAATTTCAATTGAATTTAAACCTTTCTAACTAGAATGGCCAAACTTATTTTTGGACGAAGCTGTCCTTGTACACATTTCTCTAGCTAATACTAATTGCTTTGTAAGATTGTAAATCTCACATTCTTGCAAAGCCCACTCTTTACAACTGCCGATTAAAAAATCTAAAAACAATTTCTTATTCTTTAGAACGCTGCAGCGGCCACCAATGAAACTGCCACCACAAATGAAAGCGATACCACCGCCACGAATTGGCACACCCACCTCGCCGCCGCCACCAAATGCCAGCGCACACAACGAGCATACACAACATTCAAGTGTACAACAACAACAGCAGCAGCAACAACAACAACAACAACAGCAAATGCCAAATGGTGCAATACCAACGGTGGATAATCGACAGTCGAACGACGATTCATCATTGCCTCTGCCACCGCCGCCATTAGAGGCAACAACGGATGTTGGTAGTGGTGTCAGTGCAGGTGGCGGCAGCGGCTGCGGCGGCAATGGTGGTGTTGGTGTTGGTGTTGGTATCAACTCACCACCCAAAATTGGGCATGGATTGAATAATAACAATAATAATAACAACATCAACTCGAAGAGTAATGGCAGCCAACAAAGCAACAACACAAACCACGCTAGCAATGGCAGCAACAACAGTAACAATGGCAGTAGCAGCAATAGCAACAATAGTAACGGCGCCAATACATTGCCTCTACACAACGGCAGTTCGGCGAATAATATAGATGATGATGATGACTTGCCGCCACCACCCCCACCCGTCATAACCGATGACTCCAATTATGCAGTGACGGAACTGTAAGAGCCAACGACCCAAAAACGAATGAATGCGAACAAAGAAAACAGAAAAGAAAGAGAAACACGAGAAGGAAAAACGAAAAAAAGAATTTCTTTGAAATAGTTTAAGTGAGACTTTTGACTTCAAGACTAATTGGTTGGATTTGGGGCATCGGATGTTGGAGTGTGGGCATGCAATTATTGTAAGTAAGATTGCACGTGGTCAGTGGCAAGTCAGTGCGTCAGTTAGTGAGTCAGTCCGCCGTTTGGGGGGGTAGCAATGCAATGTAGTGTTGTTGTGCACACAATTTGCCCACAGCATGGCACGTCGTTGTTTCATATGTAGTAGTTGTAGGTTTTAAGACTCCAGTTAATGTTGTTGTTACAAATCTGGATATACATACAAATATAATATAATATAAAAGAAGATACATAGACGTAAATACATACATACATACCTACATGCATACATGATGAACAAAATGTAATGAGTAAAATTTAATCCGAGTAGATAATCATGCAAATACAAACATACATACATACATATATTAAAAATAATAAACATAATATTAAGTAAAAACCGCATAAACAACTCTGTATATGTATAGTATGTATGCATGCATGTGTCATACATAGCAAGTAACTAAGTAAAATGAATAAATACATAGTTGAAAGCAAAAATGGAATTAATGAGATTCAATGGTGCATTTAAATTTATAAGCAGCATAACAAGCAGGACTCAACACAAAGGTCCAAACTATGAAATGTCGAGAAGCGATTCGTCAAGCAGAAACGAAACGAAGCGAAATAACGCTACAGGCTAAACAAAACGAGATGGCGTAGTATTTGTGAATATGTATTGGTTGAAAAGATAGTTTAACTTGAAGTATATATGTATATTAAGATTTCGGTAAATTATTGAATAGATGCATAGACGTGATGAGATTACACTATATTCCTATTTAATTAATTTTATTTTCAAATTCTATTTTATTTATATTTCGTTGATTTCATTTGTAATTATTTTTTACTTTATTTCATTTTTATTTCGTTTAATTTTATTTCACTTTAATTTCTTTAAGTTTATTCTAAGACTATATTCACTTTTTTTTTAATTTTATTATACTGTATTGTATTTAATTTAATTTAATTTTGTTTTATTTATTCTATTGTTACTTATTTAATTTTTTTAAATTTATTTTATTTTGTCTAAATTTTTTTAATTATACTCTTTTTGGTTTATTTGATGTTATTATTTTAATCTAATTTTTTTTAATTGTATTTTATTTTGTCTTCATTTGTTCATTGTATATAAAGAAATAAAAAATTCTTTTTATTTTATTTATTTTATTTTATTTTATTTTATTTTATTTTATTTTATTTTATTTTATTTTATTTTATTTTATTTAATTTAATTTAATTTAATTTAATTTAATTTAATTTAATTTAATTTATTTTAATTTAATTTAGTTTAATTTAATTTAATTTAATTTAATTTAATTTAATTTTATTTTATTTTATTTTGTTTTTCTATTTTATTTTATTTTATTTTATTTTATTTTATTTTATTATTATTATTTTATTTGTGTTTTTTGTCTCAGTTTTTCAATTTTGTTTTTTATTTGACTAATTTGGTATTTTTATTTTATTTTATTCTTATTCTTTTACTAGATTTACAAATCAAAAACTTGTTATGTATGATTTCCGCTGCTGTTTTTTGGTATTTCCCACGAAAATCTTGAAATAACTATCGTATAAACAACTTAGCACTGTGAGTAACACAAACAAAAATCTACACTAACAATTTGAAAATTGATAGAATGGTATTCATGGTGGTTGAAACCTGAGTGCAATCGATAGTCCCAATAAAAGCTCCGAAAAATTGTTAGATTGATGAAGCAAAAGTTTCCGAAACAACTCGCAGTTCATTTGTGGCGATAATCGATATTGATACCGAAACTCAGTTGCTTTCACTTCCTCCACTACTCGAAGCAAAAATTTTATCCACGAATGAAGGGTATGCTGGCTACCCATCTTGGGAGAAAATTTACGCCAAATGCTCAAAACCAATTTCTGTTTATTATTATCTTTTTGCTTTTATATCGTTTAGCCAATTTTCCGATCTACTTTACTTTATTTTAATTTTAGCTAATTATCCCTCGATTGTCAATGGCGCTAAAAACTTCAAAATAGCCATCGTTTAATTAACAAATTAACGGGTAATTAAGGGAAACATGTGATCAAGTGATGGTAAATATCGTTCATATATGTACAGCTAATATTAAAATCATTTAAATTTGTCGTAAAATTATTTTAACGATACGAAAACGTTCAAATAGAATAGTAAATCCCAATACTGCTCACTTGATCGCTACCAGAAAATATGCAATATGTACGATTTTTTCGATAAACCTATAAGGCAATGTGATTCGATATAAACGACAGCGAAGCATTAAGCTATGTTTACAATAAAATAATACAATGTTTACAATTTTTATTTTATTTTTATTTAATTTAATGTTTCTTAACTTAACTTATTTCATTTTGAGTTACTTTATTTTATGCCAATTAATTATACATTTTTATATAATAATTAATATATATTTTTTAATACAATATTGCTCAGTTAAGGTTAGAATACAAAATTCGTAGTAATGACTATGCCATGAGCATTTTTTTTACTAGCCTTTGAGTTTCTAGTCAAAATTATATGTACTAATTTTTATATTTTCTTCCTATACATTTAATTTAATATATATATATAGATATATAACATTCTTACGAAAAACTATAATTCTCATAGTTATAAGGCGATCAATTTTGTAAATATTTTTTAATGAAAGTATTTTCTATTTTGTTTCCAATCTTGCCGCGTAGTTATGAATTGTAAGTAATATATATGGTTAATAAAATTTTTTTTAAAGCATTTACAGGTTAACACGGATTTAATTAATATTTATAGACATACATATATGCATTATTTATATGTTTAACACTTAAACTAAGTGAAATAAGTCGTTAAACTGATAGTGAGGTTAAAATATTACAAAAAGACAATTTGTAGATTTTCTAAATCTTGTCGCTATATTCAATATCACGGAAAAATGCTTGGAAAAAATCTATGTCTTTTGAAAATACAGGTTCCTTGTCTTCCTGAGTAAATGTTTCGACTACCACTTGAAGATTTGATGCAAATGTTTCTTCCAATAGAGAAAGAAAGCGATAGTTTCCTCAATAGCACTACTTTCCCTACACGCTCCGTGTATGCTCATTAAAGAAAGCGCGGTTTTTAGGCAATATCCGGATGTTGAACCTGCTAAAGAATATATATCACCAAGCTCGGGAACTCTTAATTAACCATTTGAGCTTGCAGATCGGATTTCCTCTCTTCCAACACAAACCACTTGACTAGTATGCCACCGATTTTTATTGTCCTCAGGGCGTAAGTTCATGATTTATCATACACATCTCCTTCACTTCTTTCTGCCTTTTGTAAACGCCATAAACAGCATAGAAGGGAATCTTTTGTAAAATTTGTATAATTTATGTATGTTTTGTAACCGTTTCTATGTATGTATAAACTCTAGAACCTTGTAAATATTACTATATACATACTTACATATGTAGCGCATGCATTGGAAGCTGTTGCATTTCACTTCAAAGGACCCCTTAAAAAAAATAGAAAAAAATATGAAAATAAAAAATAATATTAAAAGAAAACATACATACATATTGTAAAGAATAAAATTATCTTACATACATATTAAATATACTAAATGTATGTAGTAGTTTTAAAGGGTCTTCCAGTTGTATCAGAGATCCAATGCATTTAGAACACAAAAAACTAAAAAAAATAAGAAAAGAAATTAAAATAAATACACAAAGTTCGAATTGTCTTCAAAATTTATTAGAACGTACTTAACAGCATATTAGAAAATAGAAAATAGCTCTGTTCGGTGCGCAATGTCAGCAAGAATTATTCTGTAACGAAATGTCAAAATTGCGCTCTCTCGGCGCAAATTTCACTGGCTTTTTGTCTCACCGAACAGACTAATGATGCATATTGTTGCCGCATCGTTGGTGGGAAGAATTTGTGCGTTTAGGTATGCTCTTAATATGTATGCAAAGCTAATTACCAATTCAAATTTAATAAACTGAGAAATGTAACTGAAACAAAACACTGCTAAATATGTTAACGAATGACTTTTGTATATAATTATATACTGTATGTATATTATATTAAATTTTCTGTTAGATATACGAATATTATCATAGTACATGCTTGCATAAAGACATACATATATACATATGTAATTCAAATTTAACGAAATATATCACTATTTAGTTATTGAATAAAAAAAAATTGTATGGTTTTGATTTTATTTGTTTTATATTTTTTTTTTAAAGGTTACCACAGCATACGGCATACGTTTCGAAAAAAAAAACAGTTATCTACACAACAGTATTCACATTCACCCAATTACACATGCGTACATAGATAACAGTTAGTTGAAACAATAACAATAAACTTTATTTATATACAAAAAGTATTTAATTTTTTTTTTGTATAACTGTATTCCATTTTTTTACACACCTGTGGATATATATATACAAACATACATACTTACAATATACTAAATGTTATATACAAACAATTATACCTACACTTATATATATACACACCCATACATATATCTATATTGTATACAAAAATAAAATATTTATTACATACATACATATATATATACAGCAAAAAAACCGGACTTCTACCCTATATATGTATGTACATTCAAGATGGGGTACTTTTTAGACATTTTTTATATTAACAAGAAATTATTTTCTACTCAATTTTTATATACTCATAGGTAAACACATACATATATTTGGAGGTAATTCTTGAATGATTTTAAATTATTTCGATTGCTTTGTTTGTTAAATTTTATACTTTTTACGGGACTTTAAGAACTACAGAAACAATAATAAAAATAATTGCATTTTTTTTATAATTTTTTTACGTGTTGGAGAAACTTAAAACTTTACAATTAAGATTTAAACCTGGAATAAACGGTGTTTTTTTAGACATATGGTTTTCAAAAAGAAATAAAGCGTATACAATTTGATGTTGAGGCCAAAAATTTTGCTTAATTATAAAAATAAGGGTTGCCCTAATGTTGTAAAAATGTTTTCGTGCAAGTGACCGCCGCGGCTGGATCGAATGATCGCTTGCAAAGCTCTAGTTTTATATGTATATGACATGTAGCGCCCTTGTGGTGGGACCAAAACTCGTTCACATCAACGTGCTCCAATTCAGGCATGAAAAAGTCATTAATCGTGGCTCTATAGCACTCTCCATTGACTGTAATATTATGGCCGGCTCTTCCGTATAGTGGATGGAAAAATCTCCAATTGTTGTGTGCTAGAGCGGATGAACTCATTCGGGTCTTCTTTGATACTCTGCTCGACATCATCAATAGCGTCTTCGGTGCGCAGTGTACGGCATCTCTGAGCATCCGCATTATAAACTAGAGCAAATGCGATGCGAAACCAATTCCTGGTTGCTCGAATCACTGACTCTGATGCCCGATTACGTCGAACGAATATTGGACGCAGCGCGTGAACCGAACCATTATTTTGGTACTTCATAGCCAACTACGAAAAAAGTACGAAAAAGTATTCTATTATCGAAAACCATACACCGATTAAAAATCTTATGCAAACAAAAAAAAATTCCAAAAGAAGTAACACACGAATTCTTTTTTTTTTCATATATATTTTTCTTTTTATTAAAAGCTACAGAAAATCCATCGCTTTTGTAAAAAAAAATACTTTAATATTTTTATTATGTTCTTTATTATTCTCAAATGCCATTTTAATGCAAAACAAAATATTAATATTCGAAAACATATATATTTCTATTTAAATTCTTTATTAACTAAAATAAAATTTTGCTCATAAAGATTTTAGAACTAAAACAATTGCAAATTACAATTTACAATACACAGTTGCGCTTTAGGGAAAGTAAAACACGAAAAACAGCGTTTATACTAATTTTTTATTACAAATATTTTCCAAACATTGCTCAAATATGGACTCAAATAAAAAAAAAAAACTAAAAAATAAATAAAACACAAGGCAATGAAACAATAGCAATCATAAATATTTATTGAAAACAAACGCAACAGGCTGATTCATTTCAAATTTTTAAAGCGCAAAGCAATTTTTAGAAGGAAAAGTAGTAAAAAATAAGTTATAAAAATATACTTATTTTCAAATAAAAAAATAATAATAATAATGATAAGGATAGTTAAAAAACTTATAAAACTTTATTTTAATTATTATGTATTTAACTCCGTACTGTGGCAATACTGTTAACGTGTGGTTGGCGGGGTTGCATAGGGAGAAACGAAAAATTTTAATCATACAAAAATCGTAATGTTTAATTAATTAACCCAATGGCTAACAATAAATTGTACAAAATATTTTGTAAAAACGGTAAAAAATATAAAAAACCCTAAAATATATAAAGAAAATTATACTTATGTATCACTTTTATATTCGCTTTATTACAAATAAGATTATTATGGATATAAAGATATAATTGAAAGCGGCATGTAAGATACAATAGATTTCTAAAAAAACGAAAATAGCAGTTAATTGCTTAAATGACAAATTTACATATTAATAAAGTGCAACAAATAGTTTCGAAATCCATTATATAAGTGTTGAAAAATGTAGTGCAATTAAAGTATGAAGCTGAGGCTTGCGAGAAATCGATTGTAATGCATATTTATATTTTTGAAGGCTATAAACGTTTTTTTCCTTTACTTGAAAATGTGTTTTATTATTTTTGCCGCAAAAAAAAGAAAATTGTGTTGAAAAAATTTTCAAATAATTTTTAATTCTTTTTTTTGTTATTGATTTAGCGCTTTATACAATAAACTTTTGTAATTATTTTCAACAAAAATTATATAAAAAGCATTTAGAATATAAAGCGCAGCTTATTGCATAAGTAATTTAAAAAAAGCATATATGCACAAAAATACACATTACATATATCAATATAATCGTAAATTCTATGTTAAATGTTGTCGTAAACTTTGTAGTAGCTATAAATTGTAAGTAAATAAAAAATAGTCAATAAAAAATAATAAACAATATTTAAAATAAAATAAATAAAAAAACAAAAATAGATAAATGAAATCTTAAGCAGAGAAAGTACTTTTTTCACATTAATTACAGTTACCAAAAAACCGAGTAGATACTTTATCTTTTCTACAAAATAATTTAATTTTTTTTTGGTTTCGTACATTCTATTAATGAAAATAATAATAAAACAATATATTTTAGTGTGCTTAATATACATATGAAATTTATAGACATATTTTATACAAGATATTTGTGTTGTGTACGTACATATAAGCATACTTAGTCATTTAGGTATTTTTAACATTACTTTTATGTGTAAAAATGAAAATCCTGTGTTCGTGTGTTCCTTAACAATTAAACAAAAAATATACAAATGAAAATAAAAATAAACGAAAAAAAATATGAAAATGGTGAAAGTAGTAGAACAAAAGAGTTTCTGCTTTGCTATTTTTATGAAATGTAAATATTTAGTTGAAAGACTTGCATATGTATTTAGTTTTGTACTGCTGATATCTGGACGTCTACTTTTTTTGATAAATTTAGTGTAACGAATTTTTTAAACCTCAAATCAATACAACAATTTTAAAAAACAAATAAATAACTGCATAATTACATATACATATTCACATATATGTACATATAAAGGCAATAAACTAAGTTGTAATAACTTTGACATTTCAAATTAGTAGGAATGTAAAATGTTTGTATGTAAGCAGTTATCATACTTAACATTTAAAATAAAATAAAAAACGATTGATGAGCACAAATTACATTGAGGTATAAAAAATTTAACAAACACATTGCATACATATGTAGCAGTAAAATAGAAATTAAAAAAAATAATTTATTTTTATTATAATTTGAAGTAATTACAAATAAAACATAAAGAGAAATAAATGAAATGTTAAAAAACATACGCATTAATTATAGTATTGAAAAACAATAAAACTGTGAAAAATATAATAAATAAATAAAAAAAATTATACTTACAAAGGCTTTTAATTTGAGTTCGTCTTACACTAAAATATCCCACATCTGAAACTTTCGTCAACGTAAGTATTTTCTTTGTTTTAATAAATCATATTATTAGTTTAATGTACTAACTTTCACAATTTGCACATCTTTAAAGAACACACAGCTTTTTCCAAACACTAATGACTGCTTCTTCGTGCGTAGCGTTGAAGCGCTGACTTGACATCATTGCCTTGGTAGCACTTCAGTTGATTGCTTTTTTCATAATGTTATTCACAAGAATCAGAAAACGCAAGTGCGCTCATTCCGCCTTTTTCAGTATATTAATAAAATACCATTAGCTATTAACTGATTAAAACAAGTATTTTTCACAACAAACATTTCATCACTTGAACTTTTCAATCCATTTAGAGAAAACGGAAATGGCCGCCACAAGGAAGCAGAGCTAAGTATGTAAAGTATGTTCGTTTACCACAAATTTGTTTCTTGACTTTCGCTTGAATATGGATTTTTTCTGATACCTAATTTTAGTGCGAAAAATATTGTTGACCATACGAAAGTTATGTTTCAGTGTTCATAAGTGTATAATCATTATATGAATTTAATTTTAAATATATAGGAGAAATATGTAATAATATAATATATACAAATTTTCATCTGGCAATATTCCAGCAGTGCTGCCATTGTAGCGCTTCCGCAACCTACCGGACATTGTCAAGGGGAAACGGCCATTTTAACAACGAATAAGTGCAGCTATATTGAAGTTTAAAGTTAGTTAAGAGAAAAATTTGTTAATTTTGACAGTATTATAAAAAGTGAAAATAGTGTTCCTAAGTGTGTTTAATACGTTATGAAGTTGCTCTGCGGTTAGTAGAAATAGGCATACAAATACAAGCAATATGTTTATTTTATAGCTTTAGAAGTAGCAAATTTGTGTTACATATATATATAAAAAGCGGCTTTTGGCAAATTTCTGGTAAGAATGAAAGATTTTTACACAAATACAAGAAATATGTTTATTTTATAGCTTTAGCAGTAGCAAATTTGTGTTATATTATATATTATATATATATATATACATTTTGCGCTTTGTAAGCTCTAAAGAGCTGCGTGGAGTTAAATAAAGTTAAGTTCAGTCGAATGATAAAGCAGTTGTTATAAATATTTTTCTTCTTTTCTCGCGAAGTTACGCGATTTTTGCGAACCATAGTGCGCCATTCTTTCCTTCTTTTCGCCATTTGGCGTCAATTGGACATACCAAGTGCAGCCAGATTCTTCTCCTTCTGATCTTTCAGGCAAAGTGGAGGGTTTCTACTTACTTAGCTTCTAAAGGTGGGGACTCCACAGAAAATTATCAAAGCTTGGGGGTTTTCATTCATTCGGACTACATGACTTAGACGCTGTATCTTGTTTTCGCCGTTGCTTTTGCGAATCATTACCTTACGTAAAACCTTCGCTCGAAAAATCCTGACGCTTACGTGATAATAATTAGCTAAAATGATTAAAATATGCACAAAAGGGTTGTGAATTCCATGTTTTATTAAAAAAAAAGCTCTTAAAACCATCGATCAAGTAACCTTTGACTGCGAACATTGATGTTATCTACGTATATCATCCATTGTAAGGTATATTTTCATACATTCTCGTATAACCAAGAGTAGAGATCATTCAAAGTTTTAATGAACTTAATACCATAACATTTTAATAAAATTCCGAAATTGTGCACACACAGCTTATTTTTCTCGCTTTATTTTTCTTTATAAGTGTATGTTTTATTATTCGCTTTAATTTATCTACTATTTTTAAATAGTAAATATATTAAATTTGCATATAATAGATAAGAATAATGATTTACTATATTACAGTACAATAATTGAAATAATTTATTTCTTTTTTCAGATTATGGAAGAGTATGTAAGTATAGTAAAAGATTGCTTAATTTTAATACGATAAGTTGAAGGTGAATAAAATAATAAAAAAGAAGAATAACAATTTTAATACGATAATGCAATACAAATATTTAAGTATACGTAAAATACACATAAATAATAAAATCACATATACATTAGCATAAAAGTTTTACTAGCTTAGCTAAAACTTGGCATAATATTTGCTGATTAATAAAATTTATTTAAACTTTATTTTTTCGGTTGTGTGTGTATGTGTTTTGTTTTGTTTTTTTTTTTTGTTTTTCAAAGAAACCGGTTTTATATTTTTTCGTATCTATTTAATGCTTAATGTAATTAAAAGGAATGATTTTGTGTACTCATTCAAAATGAAGTTCAAACAGTAATTTGCTATCACTAGTGAGTGAAGTGAATTGCCATTAAAGATTTTCTTTTGAATATTCATCGCTTAGCTATTACATAAAGAGTTTATTGAATACTCTAATAAATACAGTGGTTGGTAGAATATTTCAGTAGTAAAATGATATTAGAATTTACAAGTGTTTATTATATGCTCAGCAGTAAATGATATAAAATAATTTTCTAAATTATAAAATATCCACGCATATATAGATAGGTAGATAATCCAATACAAAAGTTACGCAAACGAGCTGCAATATATTTTTCTTTGATTTTTAATGCACCTGTTGCCTGCGGTTTCATTGCGTCCATCTTTTTTTCAACCATATAGAATTTGAATAATTGCACCGTTGCTTTTGAGAATATGTTTTTTTCCATATTACTACTTTTAGGGGTTCGTTGCACTACATTGTCAGCTTTGTAATTCTATACGTATTTTTTTATTCCACACAATGCCAAAAATACAAAAGTGGTTTTTATTGTGTACTAATGCCTTGTACCTTTCTGATTTTGTTATTTAACTACGAGAAGCATATTATATTTAAACTTGCAGTGTTGTTTGACACAAATTACATTTGCAAGTTTGCTGTTCTACTGTCATGCGGTATGCTTGCTTTAACTGGTAACAAACTTCTCTGCCGCTATTGCATTACAATATATTAGATACTTGCAATTCGAAAACAGTTCTAATAACTAATATTTTATTTGCCATTATTAATTGGATTTGCATTATTCACAATTACATTCGCATTTACGGGCACCAGCTCAGGCACCGACGATTGGTTACTACTTTGACTAATATTGCGTGCATGTCCTTCATTGCTCTCTGCGACATTATTCACGTTCGCAGTTTGTGCTTGTTGTTGCTGCTCTTGTTGTGTTGCTTGCGTTTGTGATGTTGGTTCGGGAAAGACGGGCGGCACTGCATTGGCAGCAGATATGACAGGTGTCTGCACCATGGGTGTGGGTGGTGAGCGACCCATTTGATGTGGTGAACCCGACATTTGCATGTGGTATCTGTTAATTTGAGACGATTTGAAATTTAATATGAAGAATAAAAAAATTGTACGAAAATATACAAATTTTTACCTGTAAATATTTTCAGTGCTTTCGACAACACCTTGTGTTAGATTGAGACTACGACCTTTTATGCCACCAGCTTCACGAGCAGGGGGTGACCACCAATTAAATACGCGTCCAACAACTGGTACATGCCTTAATATGCCCTCTTGCCACATTTTCTCTTCGGTTTCGCGCATCAAATCGGCAGTAGCTGCTTCGATGCCCTATATATGAAGTGAAAGTAAAGAAAATTAATAAAATAAAGCAAAATAAACATTTTATATGAAAAAAGTGTAATAGTTATTAAGTAGTGCAATGATTAAAGTGTACAATTATAATAAATATGCAGCGCACTCACCTTCTTAACAATTTCCGACATTGTATCCAATACACGCGAATTTTCCTGCACACTCTTACCCACCGAAACAACTAAATCCAATAGCTCCTCCACATCGGTCTCATGCGTAACCATACCGAAACGCACACAAATCAAACCATCTGTGCCCTCGCCCAACGAGAAAGCATTATCTGTGGATTTCAATGCGTCAACAAGATCCGCATTGAGCTTATTCAACTCCGTTTTGGCTTGATCAGTGAGTAGTGACTCCCAACCTTCGGGCACAAAGCGTACACCACCCATACCAGCCCATTCAGGCAAATTAACCAGCCGCAATACATCACTCTTCTCAACTAATTCAATAAATGTTGCCTTATGCTTAATCGTAGCGCGTAAAATATCCACATTTCCCTCGAGATTTTGTGCAAAGCCTTCTAAATTTTCAGACGTCGGTGGCTGTTCACCTAGCCCCAGCTCAAGTGGGCAATAACGTATGCAAGTGCCATGTGTGGGATGTTCAATGATTTCGAAATCGAACTGTGTAGTGGTGAAGTGTAAAGAAGTTTTAATATGAAATATTGATAAATTTCAAAATGAATATTTACACTCACATTAGGGCAATCACGTTGCAGTATTTGGCCCAACCAGGAGTTCAATCGATCGAAGTATGATGCATTGCTAATCTTCTCCAACGACTTACTAGCGCCTTCCAATGCAGCCATATGCTCGCTATCGGTTTTACTAACGCCCTGTATTGTGATTGATGTGCTGCCATCAAATTGAAATACAACCACAGGTGCAACGGTTTCGAAAAGTAACTGTAATGTGAAGTTGTAGTTGAAATCATTTTAATTAAAAGCAGTCATAACTCAAAAAGTATAACCAATTTGCGATAAAATACTAACATTAACGTCAAGCGGCTTATTAATGACATCGTTGAGTGTAGTACCAGATTGGCCGCCAGGGGCACGACTCTAAACGAAAAAGAGGAATAAAGATAGAAAGAATGTTACTAATTTGTTTAGCAGTTTTTCTTATCATTTTATGTTAATTAAGTGAAACTATAGTTTGCTGTATTGTAATTAACTTAAGTTGAAATATTTTTTAATCAGTTCGTATGCTCTGTGGCACATTTTTTTTTTTTAAATAGAGTAAATGCAAATATGTATGTTTATTTAAGTTATTAATTAATGCGTTTGATTTTATAAATGATTTAAAAAAACATACCCATTTTCATGAATTAAAAAAAAAATTTCTTACTAATCAAAGTGAAAAACCCCCTAACCCCTGCGGGTTAAGGGCTCAAGAATTTACCCGCGGTAAGGCAGGCCTGTCGTAAGAGGCGACTAAAATCCAATAGTTCCCGCGACAGGACTGTCACTCCCGCAACATTCTCCAAAAAGTACTTTGGGGAATAATTTTGCGGTTACAACAACAACAACAACAACAATAAAACAACCATTGCTAAGGTTTTAGAAATTTTAATTATCACCTAACACAGTGAATTACCGTGGAATCGCATAGATAGAAAAGCCGCTGCAAAAACAACGAAATATAGAAAAAATAAATCAAAAATAATTTCGGCGTTATCGTAAAAAGCGATAAAACTAAGCAACTGATATGCAATAAGGCAGTACTTATCAACTACATACATACACACATACATACATACTAACAGCGAAAACAACTTGTATAAATAAAAAATTGCTGATGAGTTAAATAAGCATTGACACGTTGCCCTGAAAGCTGCCTCAATAGATTAAATAGCAATTAAACTACTTAAAAATTAATTAACCCAAAAACCTTTCAATAATAAATTTTTCAATAATAAACTTACCACCACACGTACACCATCACATTTGGATGTGATCTCGAAGAGAATACTACACGTTTGGAATGCAACATGAATACGTTCCGCGATAGCATCGCGTCCCAATGCCTGCAGACTGGTCCACAATGAAAGCGAATGTAGGCGACGTGAAAGCATTGGATCCGATTCGAAGGCGGTTAAAGCGGAATTTTGCAGTTGACGATGTAGAAGCTGTGAAAGGCAGAAAGTGGTTCTTTTTGAAATCGGCTTTTAAATTATTTTCAAATTGCAACTCACCACTATTGGTAGACTTGGTACGCCTAACCAACTGCCCAAATTCAAAACAATTGAGTCAACAATATCGCTGATCTGTTGGCGCGGGGATGGAAGAAAAGACAATAAGAAACATAATATAGATAACATTGTTGTTTGATATTAGAAATGTTTGCTTATCTTACGGCATTTGAATGTTAGCACTTTTTTTTGTTATTTTGCAGACATTGACAGTTATGTGCCAATTAAAATTAAAGAATGCTTAATGTGAAGTGTGGGGATTTTGCAGTTTTAAGCGATTTTGTGTTGAGTCAGAAAAATTAATTTAAATATAATAATGTTGAAAAATCAGTAAAATTGCAAACTTTGGCTGTGTAATGCTTCACTCTTCTGTACTACTCGGTTTAATTACCAGCTTGCTAATGCCTTAAAAGCAGAATTTAGCTTCCTTCTTTCAGGAATACATTAACTGCATTCGAATTACTATTTTTTCACTTTAAATTATACATTATTTAATAAAACAGCACTCCCCACCAAATGGCTTACCGTATTCGGTCCCTGTGCACACGCTAATGCTGCCAAACCATGACCGGTGGCATGTAGCCAAATGTTGTGCGCCCGACAAATGTCACTCATGCGCTGTAAATTGTCCACATAACCGCTAAGCGAAGCGCCTACATCGGCCACCACCAGTAGAGGCGTGCGATTTGCACTCAAATCGGTTTGCACCTGCTTCTGTAGCAGCGACAAATCCATTGTGCCGAATGTGCTATTGGCCGGTATCAGACGTATCGCATCCAATGGTATGCCCAATTGACGGCAAGCATATTGTAGACGTAGTGGCGTCGTATTTTCCGAAATATAAAAGCATGGATGCGCCAATGCTGGTATGCCGCCCTCAAGATAGCCAGGACAACGTGCCACTATCGCTAAGCGCACAGCGCGTAGTATAGCGTCAGCGTTGTCTGTGTGAAAACTACTGGCCGGATCGAAAAAGCGGAAGAGTGCACCCAGCCAGCGTGTGGTGTCGCCGGCAATGCTGCTCGAGACGCGCACCAAATGTTGGCGATCTAAATGTGTTAGATAAGCGACAATACTGTGTGAGATAAGTGCTAGTTGTGCAACGTCATCTAGACCGGGTAGAGGAAATTCCGGATCATCCTCAGAGTCGGAGTAAGCTATAAGAGTTTCCAATGATTTGAGTATGTCGGCTGGTGGCTTACAGTCACCATGCAATAGAGTTGTATGTTTTGGTGTTGTCGGCATGTCAAGTGATGTGTGAACGCCATTTGCTATATGTGCATTGCCGCCGCCATCAACCGCATCTGTGGCGGCACCGCCCTCTGGTGGTGGTAGTCCATCATGATTTTCAATAATCGGCGCTGCAGTTTTAACATTTTCCAAACCACGTAACACCTGTGAAGAGCGCAATTCAAGTTCAGCGAGGCCGGAACGAATCTGTGTATGTTTGAGAAGATTTTTTTTAACGATATATAATTGTATGGAGTATGCGTGTTATAAGTTTAGTCACTTACACTGGATGCGGCAATTTCTGCTACGCGTGGCTCTTTCAACAACTCATCACCGGCGCCGGACGACATTCTTTTCGTTGCGTTGCTTGTTTACTTTCTTACAAATACTGCTCCACTTTGCACACTTCAGCTTTCTAATCTATCAATTATTTTGCGATTTTTCAATTGCACCACCTATTTCGTGGCACCCACAAATTGATTGCCTGCCTAGTCTTTGGCGTAACTTTTCTTTGCGTTCTAACGCGGCGACAGTTAAATGTTTTATTGTTATTTGGTATTATTTTCACAATTATTTGTTCAGTTGGTGCTCCGTGGCCCAGTTATTGTTAATTTTAATCGTTTCCGTCACTTATAATTGCTGCACAAACTCTATTGCTGTCGTCGTCAGAATTTTCACTTATTCTAGTTTTGGATTTCACACTTGCTTTGTGCTGACATTCGCATTTGCGAGATTGTTGTGTTGTCAGTTTTTTGACATTTATGTAGCGACATCGAGAGAAAGAGAGAAGTTACCCAGCGAGCATTTGGTTCGGGAATAAAATGGAATTGGAATTACCAAACAATTTTTACCTTGGACATATTCCATTAAATCTCCATATTATAATGTACATGATTTAACTATAAGGAAAAGAACAAAAAACCAGGTCTTGAGCTCACTAAAAAAACCAACAACAAAAAAATATAGAAATTTATTTTTGTTAAATGAAATTGATGATAAAATTAAAAAAAAAATATGGTCTAACTTAAATAAAATCGACGAGGTATTTTCAAATAGCTTGATCTTATCGCTTTCTACTACTAAAAATTAAAAATTAGGCAAATTATAAATTATTGTTGTTGTAACTAGAAAAGATTCCCCAAGATGTTTTATACCAATGTTGCTGAAGCGGAAGCATTCGGTTTGATAAAAATCCGCGCCGTTCCGATATAAAGACGCGACTGTGCATGTTTTATCGTGCATACGCTCTTGAACCCTGAGCCCATCTTGTTGTTGCTGTCTCTTCATTTGGGTTCATATAAAAGTTGCCGTATAACTCGAGGAGCCTATCGCCCCATCGTCAATATTTGTGGCAGTACAGTCACTCCCTGCTTGGAAGTAGGTAAGTCCAGCCGAGGTTATCTAACAGTAGGTCCAGGAAATTTACTGCCTCGACAAGGGCATGTCTAGGTTGAGTTCGAATAAGTTTAAGTTTAGTCCGTAATATTTTCTCCAAAACTATACCAAAAAAGTCACAAATAGTTGGAGAGATATTGTTGTTGTAGCACCTGGTTAAATCTGTTTAGGTGTTCGAAGGCCTGGTCGATGTAGTGAGGCTCAAGATACCAGCAGTTTCGGCGCGTTAGGATCAAAGAGAAACAGGTGTTACATAAGCAAGTTTCTCGGGACCTTCAAAGAGTTGATAGGTATCAGAGGAGACTTTTTGATTTTAGAACACCCGTAAATTGAGAAGATCGGGGGCCGAGTTATTACAATAACCCCTGTCAGTGTTTAGCTAATCTCCTGCGTCAACTCGAACGCTTCCTCTGCTATTGATGATGGTTGGATTTTATGTGTTGGACTTTACAGATGGAGGCTTCGTAATATGTTGGTGAACAGAGTCTATGTAGTCGAGTACTTTTCTTCTGATATACCTTCATATAGGAAAAATCTGCTTTAAGCAGGTGTTGCAAAGCGTCACGCTCGTTTCTGGCGTCCAAGTCGTTCCAGCGTAAGATTATGACTGCCTGGTCGATAACCGTTTAGGTTATTAACAAAGTTAAGGGGCTAAAGCGTAGAAGCTATCGCGCGGTTGTGGCTTCGAACGGCTGCTGAAGAGAGTAGTCGAGATATGCTCAGACCTAAAAGCCCATAGGTAGTAGACCAGGCCTTGGCCCAGTGCTGCAAACGCAGTTCCACCGTCTAAACACTCCATGATTTAACGGATCTCCCCGGCACATGACTTTCAACCATCTCCGTGTGGTGGCTAATCAGCAGCTCTTAGTACTTCATACTGGAATGTTACATCCGTCAGATGTCGTTTTAGCTTTGGGTATATTCACATTGCCACCGACGCGCTTTGGTCTGCGCACCACTCGTGAGTGGCGGGATTTTACCTTAGGCTATAATAGTTTCACCACCGCCAGCTGAAACAACCAAAACCCACACAATCTTCCCTCATCTTGAGTAATACGAACGCCATCTCGAAAGAGAGAAAAATAGAAGAGATAGACGAAAGGTAACAGCTTACCTTTAGGCGAAGGAAAAGGGTATAAGCTCAAAGGCCAATATCGAAATGCTATCTGCTTATGAGATCAAGGCGACAGTCGTTAATTGTGGAGAGAGTTTTATAATATAAAAATTAAAGAATAGCTGAAAGAGTCACCCTTCAAAGTCCCTTGTTTAATTTTCAACTATCTGGAGTGTTGATTTCGAAATTCTACCAATAACTGAAGACTATGGCCCACCTTTTCAACACGGTGCTAATAAATAGCCATCTATGTCCAATGATAATTGACGGTGTCGAGAGCTTCAACTAATCATTTGCATCCAGCATAGTACGCATGGCTTGGTTAAGGTTATGAGTTATCTGACAGGCAAGGAGTCAAGTTCCTTCACTACCTGTCAGTTCCACTGAGAGAGAATGTCTACTCAGTGCAGGTACTGGAGAAGGATCCGTAACCGAAGTTTCCCAGCGGTCTACGCTCCACGCGATTTGATTTCTTTTGTCACTTTAAATGCGATAAGTCCTTGGTAGGAGTAGACCGTGTTACTTAACGCCATCACCTTTTTGCCATCTTCTGCTACTCAAAGTTTCAGAGGACCTTTTTAATAATTAACTACTATTATTTTAAATGAAATTGCAGGTACTGAGAACAAACAGAAAACCTACTTCAAAGGGACATTGGAGGGGACACCTTTCACCGGAAAATCCACAAAAAATGTCGGCTCACACGCCACAAGCAAAAGCATACAAAATATACCTACATACATGCCTCACATTGCCCAAATCCCATGAAGCAAATAAAATTCAAATGCAAGCTCCCATTACCGTCGGAGTGCAGCGGAGTAGCAGAAGGCGGTGGGCCGCAATTGGGCAGCATCGCATCAGTAATATCGTAATACAGAAAATCTAATTAAAATCGAGTACTTTGAAATAAATTGGAATGCATTACAATGGAAATAAAATTCAGTCGAGCGAATGGCTGTGCAGCTGAGTCATTATGAAAACGGTCAATGGCACTGAGCGGCCAGCTGCAGCGAGTCCGGCAGTCGGCGGCCGTCCGTTTAAACGAATGTAAACATTTAAATGGAGTAAACAGTCGAAATTTAAATAATATGTCTGTAGGTCTGAGTATAATGCAAACTCTTTCACTTGTACCTCTAATTCCATCGAATTCTTTTGCTTCATTATGCCTTGTCCCTGCAACACTTGATGTCCTGCTTAGAGTGCCGCTTAATGTTTTGTATTTTTTTTTTTTTAAATTTTTTTATTTCTTTCTGCTGTTGCATACAGCAAACACTTTTTGGTTCTAATGCGACTAACTATGATGAAGTGGTGCCGAAGAACGGTGTAAAGGGCATGCATATCCAGCTCATGTAAGCACACTTCTGCACGCTCAATTAATCATCGCTTGAATTATTGTGCATTTTATGCAGTTTCTTTCTTCCTAAGAATATTGATGATTTTCCATTTGCTTTATGTTAGATTTTCAGTAGCGTGTTGAGATGGAGAATTCGAAAAACTACATGATTTGCTGTATTTAATATGCGGACACCATCGGTGTGAGGTTATCTTTGCGTTCTGCCATTCTGAAGACCAGGGTTCGAGTTCTGGTTCAACCGATATCCAAAATTATAATGAATGAAATTTTCTAATTGCGGTCGCCCCTCGGTAAGGAACGTCAAACCATTCGAGTGTATTTTTGACAAGCGGTAAAAGCTCCATTTAAAAATTCAGCGGGCGTACGTTCTACAATATGTCAACTAGAAGACCCATTCGCTTCGCTGCCTCATCCAGCCTGGAGAAAGCAGAACTCACGGCGCGGTCGTTGAGGTTAATGATGCCAATATCGTCGGCGTACACTAGTAGCTGTATACTCTTATAGAAGACTGTATTTTCTCTAATCTGCTCTGCAGCTCGTGATTGGAAACCACCTTGTCTGAAACCTCGTTTGATATCGCATGAGTCGGAGAGGTCCTTCCCGATCCTGTTGCAGCTTCTGGTGTTGTCCAGAGTCAGTTTACTCAGCCATATAAGTTTTTCAGGAATAAAAAATTCAGCTTCTATTCGAGACGAGTACGTATCCTTGCTGCTACAAGATAGTGGTCTGAGGCAAAGTTGGGCACAACATGGTCAATCTGTTTTTGAGTTTTTCGATGATGCATTTTCTTGTGCTGAGATCTGATACTACAGTAAGGCGTCGATCAGCCTCTACCATTTTGGACACGTTAAAGTCAGAACAGTACTCATAATAGCGCTCTAGGCGGTACCGGAAGTATAACCGCAACTCAGCGTCGTAGTCTTCTTCCCAGCACCAATAATGCGCTCTTTTATATGGCCATTGTGGTAGACGCCACAAGAGCCCACCTTCTTCTGCCCCTCCAATGATGGTTATGTTAGCCTTCAGTGTTACGAGGACATCAACCATTTTAAGGGACCGGACACTCAACGTGCATACCATGCCCTTGGATTATAAACCAAACCTCAAGAAAATGCAACACCAAATACGATTTCTTCATATATATAAGTCCCTGGTCTACTATCTGAAATATTTCTTCGAACAAACCCTTACAGGAAGCAATCTGACGAAACTTCAATTCAATCGGTCGGTAAGCTTTCGTGTTATCTGCATAAGATTTTTACAATCTAAATATATATATGCGACTGCTCTGACCTAAAATAGATCCATGAAAATGTATCGCCTCGTAGCTCCTACTGCCTAACGCTTGGCTTCAGCGGTTGTCAAGCGCTTTTACCTACCCACAAAGGCATCCGTGGCGTATGAGCAACATTTGAGCAAATTTGACGCTGCCTTTAATTTACGACATGACATGTAACGGAATTCAATGTATTCCGTTTAAAATGCAAATGCATGCAATAATATGATATTGTTGTTGTATAGTAGGTTTTGTAATTAAGATTGCGCGTGCAAAGGCACATTGACCCGACCCGGCACGGCAAGTCATTGCACCGGTGACAGCAGCAATTGTTGCCATAATTATGATTATCGCTTTTGTTGTTCTAAGCATTTCTCACAACAATTAAATATACACATACATACATACATTCACACATACATATATACATATGTACATATGTATCTACGGACATAATTGCATGCATGTTTCAGCATAATAAATTGTGCACCTCAACGAAAACGGGAAAATAATTTCAGTCTGCAGCGTTGCATGTCGTTGCATGGCGCTTTTTCGCAAGACTCCTTGGGAGGAAATATTTTTGCGAAGAGCGAAAGTATTTTATTTATGATTTTTCTTTAAATTTGCATGCTGCTCATTGCTTAAGTACAGCTGAAAGTATGCGCATAAGTTTTTATGACTGTGCGTGTGCACGAGTGTGAGTCTACACATGTGTGTGTGTGTGTGCTTTACAAATTGTTGACTTTCGTTTCCTGAA